ATCAGGATATTGGGACTATATCAGAAAATCGTCAGGTAACATAGTGGGAGTGACGGCGTGTAAGACTCTTACCTGAGAGTAGAATGGTCCCGTAAGCTGAAGTGATGCATCAGTGAAGCCAGCCGGTGCCAGCGCCACGGTGCCTGCCATTGATGCATCAGTTGTCGTTGATGCATCAGGTCCGGTTGATGCATCAGGTCCGGTTGATGCATCAGGTGTCTGCAAAATCGTATAAAGGCCGGGGTTATCCCAGCTCATGGTATCAGTACCTCCTTCGTTCTCCTCTCTGCTTTCATCCTCTTCGCCACTTTCATCCTCTTCGCCGCTACCATACTCTTCGAGTTCCTCACTCCTGTTGCCATCTCCGACGTTCGTGGTAGCTGGCAGCAAGGGGTCATGTTCCTTCGCAGCTGACAAGTGTGTATCAATGCGAGCCCATAATGATAATGAGGAAATGACTTACAGAATATTGATTCTGCAAATTCCTGGTACGCACCGAGGAAGGCATAGTCCTCATCAGGGTACAAGTGGGCAAAATTGCGCCCACCAGAGGTTTCTGATGGATGGCACCTTAGTTGGAGGTAAGCACGTTAGTTATACTGCTGATTCGGTTCACTTACGATAAAGTAACTATGTTCTGATTATGCCTTGGGTCAGGTCCGGCGCACATGAAGGACACAATGAATTGAGTTTGTTTTTTGACAAGGCGTGCAAAGCGCTGGCATATGATTGGCAATTCGTCAATACCTCTGTAGGACATGTGAGTATGATTAAAACCAGGTACATCGACCGAAACACTTACTTTGCGATGGCATCAGGATCACTTTCATCGTTATCATCATCTTCGTCATCCAGTATGTCACCCTTTCCCTTGCTACCTTTTATCTGCTTGTCGTACCTCTTTCTAACCTCCTTCTTAACCTCGTCCGACTCATCTTCTAAGAGCTCCTTGGAGAACCTTCGACCCAATGCCATGCGGTGACCAGAAGTAGTCACATTGCCCGCTTCTTGTTCGGCCTTGACCAGGGGTTTGATCTGCTCGTCGTAGACCATGCCCATATAGATCTCTTCGACAGACTTTGCACGCGTCTTCAGTCGCAGGGCGGCATCAAAGACAGTCTGTTCCTTCTTCAAGCCGCGATTCTTTTTGGATGAACCCGCCCGCCAACGGAACCAGGTTGCCAGTTGCTACAAGTATTTTACTTTAGTTTACGATACAAAAAAAACACGTAGTCGACGACTTACAACTTTACGTTGCTCTTCAGCTTTAACTTCTTGTTTCGTCTGCTCAACAGTGAGCGACACGTCACCAGGGATGTCGGGGAACAGAATATTGCGCTCTGGCCATGTTTTGAACCAATATTTGTGTATGCCGGGCCAGAAGCAGGAGTAGTCCTTGTCCCCGTGCTTTGCTGCATGTACTCTGGCATTTGTTCTTGGAGCCATGTATACTGCGCTTTGGTAGTCCACGAAGCTGCTGGCATTGTTGTGCGTGAATATGAAGGATGATGGGGAAATAATTCCCATATGAAGTAGACGTCCATCCTTATATTATTCGCGAGTCAATACCGAGCGAATAAAAAAAAATAGAGCTATTTTGGTATCGACTTACCACATTGTCAAATTAGGAGAGGGTGGTATGGATGGAAACGACGGAAACAATGGTATCGGCACCGATTTGTGTTTTAGAATGACTAGTGATCAGGTAATGAGGGATGACGACACAATCTGAGTGTTGCGTACTACATACCGGGAGGTGTTAGCTGTGCCTGCACTAAGATTGATATCGGCTTCATATTGCCTCCAGTGGATCTTGAGATGAAGTTGGTAGACTGGCCATCGTTGCTGAGTGCACCGTTAGCCCATTGTTATTGTCCATGCAATCATGTAGACTAACCTATGACGATGATGGGATGTGACTTGAACCAACAATAAGTGTTCGGACAGAGCGTCGTGACAGTAATAAGCCTGAGTATACAATGTGGGATCAATCAACCAAAGACTCACCTAGACATCGAGTAATAAGTATACAATGTGGGATCAAACAACCAAAGACTCACCTAGACATCGAGAATGAACATTAAGCAGTAGTTTGAGTTTCGATGTGCTTAATGTGTGTAGCCTACTTTAGAACGTCAAGTTAGCGTGTGGCAGTGTGATCAGTTTGCAGGTGTCACAGACTCTATCATAGCGCTGACTATTCTACATTTGTAAAACTCACTCACACATAGTACACACAGGTGAGACTCTACTGTGCTGGATCTGTTCAACTATTCTACACTCATAAAATGTTTCAAGGCTGCCAATGCTGGCAAATTTCTGTCTATTATTCTTGCTCTCATCCACCGGCCAGGCCTCAAAAAGATTCGAGGATTGGTTACTAACGCTGGTAAGTTTCATTTCAATCCTTTTTGTTGCGACTCATCCACTGGCCAGGCCTCAAAAAGATTCGAGGATTGGTTACTAACGCTGGTAAGTTTCGTTTCAATCCTTTTTGTTGCGACTCATCCACTGGCCAGGCCTCAAAAAGATTCGAGGATTGGTTGCTAACGCTGGCAACTTTCAGTCCACCGCCGGGGCCTCAAAAAGATTCGAGGATTGGTTCCTAATGCTGGTAAGTTTTGATCCTTTTTGTCATAACTCATCCACCGGCCAGGCCTCAAAAAGATTCCGAGGATTGGTTGCTAACGCTGGCACCTTTCAATCCACTGGCCGGGCCTCAAAAAGATTCGAGGATTGGTTCCTAACGCTGGTAAGTTTTAATCCTTTTTGTCGCAACTCATCCACCAGCCGAGTCTTCTTATTTGCCCTTGTACTCTACTTGATTAGCACCTGCAACGTTGTAGTTGTCGCATCATGTCTAGATTTGATTGTATAGTACTAATATTTCTACAATACAAGAGTGTGTGTGTTTCGTCTGTATGTGTGAGTTTTGCGTGTAGAATAGTTGAACGTTTAGAACCAGCGCCATAAGACTCAACTTGCAATTTACTTGAGTCTAGCTCATAATTTGATCGTTGTATGAGGTAGAACCCCGACATACATGCTCTGAATAATTAGCTACTGCTATACCATTGATTTTGAGTGAGACATGATTGGTGATCATCGGATATCAAGCAATTAGTAGTAAATCTCCCAAAGTCGACGCGGCTACTTTCAACAACTTGTTCTAAACTTGGTTACTACTACATCATGGGCTGACCTCGGCTGTATCACACATCACAAGATAAAATTGAGGCTGCTCATTCTTACCGCAAAGAAATACTATGCAAAGTAAGCACTTGCTTTTCTGTTTTAACTACTGACATGTATCAGGAGACGCAGAAATAGTGCAATCATCAGCAAGAAGAACCAGCAAAAATCTTGCAAACAACACAACTGTCCGACCAACAATGATGTTGATTCCCAAAGCCGTAGCAGGTACAGCGTCCGCACGAGATCATCACAAAGGCACCCATGGTGAGCTGCACGTTACTGATAGCTACTTGAACTTTACATTAAACTATCATTAGGCAGGAAGACCTCACAAGTGCCGAAGCTGCACTTGCAGACATTATTGGTGGATCCTCGCGAAGACTTTTAGATGGGCTGGTGAATGATCTTTGTCAGTCAGGTGACGCGGGAACATGCATGCATTCAATCAATGTATTACTAGGTGGTATGGAAGGCATTCAACAACGTCTCCGGCTACTTCATGGGATCGTTTTGCAGGCTATGGGGACAGGAGAGGAGTTGCAGCGAGTAGATTTGATATCCCATCAAGCATCTAGCCTCATCTTAGCACTGGAGGACTTGCTCATGCATGTCATGGTCGACCCTCACGATGCGCTGGAAGGTCATACACGTGGTGAGCTATTATACCAGACTACTTGTGATATCACTGTCTCGCAGTTATGATAATGATGTGATGTTAGTGATTGCATCAATCATGTAATCTTCAATCCTGACACCGGTGATTGCAAGCACCGAAACTCTATCAAACGCTAGCCCCCGTTGGTCTAAGATGCTTCTAATCCATTCTACTTGGACCGAAACTCTATCAAACGCTAGCCCTCGTTGGTCTAAGACGCTTCTACTGGAACCTCACGTTGGCCGCTGCCAATTTGACTCATCAACATTAACACTTGTGTTCTAAGGTGAGTGATTTGCCATATCAATGGAAGCGCTAGGTATCAAGCTAACCCAAAATTTCCTCGCTGCCAGTCCGTCTCTCCATGTGTGATCCCCTTTGGGTCGACATCACTACAACACCCTACATGGCAGAGCCAGAGGAGTCTGTGACTGTGTACGAGGGCAGTGTCGAGTTTGATGAGGCCGTCTATGCTATGGCGGATGAATGCTTTATTTTTTCGTATCTAGGAATATTCTACAACATGCCTGCCAAGCGCGATCTAGAACCACCTTTCTACTGCGTTACCTATGGCCGCTACATTGGAGTTTTTCCGTCATATCTCTGGTGAGATTTCCATCTCATTTCCATTTTTATACTTAAACACCCACCTTAGGGATGATATAAAAACTGAACTCCAAGCCCCAGGCCATCGTGCTCCTACCTACTTTGCTGTTCGGTCGCTTTTTCTCGGGGAACAGAAAGTTCATCGTGCCATCCGGCGTAGGCTCGCAGCCAGTAGATGACACACTGTAAGTTTGATGTTGTATCGTTAGTAGCATTTGCTAACATTGCTCGGTCTATAGTCGGGACCGATTATGGGAGAATGTATTCAGTTAGAAGACAATCAGAGTAAGGAAGAGATATAAGGTTTTTTGTGAGGCTCATGGCGTGCAGCCAGATTCAGTTAGAAGACAATCGGAGTAAGGAAGAGATATAAGGTTTTTTGTGAGGCTCATGGCGTGCAGCCATTCAGTTAGAAGACAATCAGGGTAAGGAAGAGATATAAGGTTTTTGTGAGGCCCATGGCATGTAGCCAGTATCTCAGGTATTCCGCTTTGGCTGAGGAAAAGAGCAATCAAATTTCTGGAGCATCCCTAGATAGAGATGAGTGTTTGGCTTCATCGACGCCCTTCGGCAAGTCACATGACATGTCAGGCTCGGAGAGCTGCATATGATTTCTGTTTGCTCGACACCATCTAAGAATGTCTATGGGTCCTGGTCCGTCTGAGGCAGGGCCACCATATCCAGTTCAGACTATCATATGTACCAAGGCAATGTCCTCTACCTCGAAGAACTCGCCAAAACGGAAGAGGAAACCAAAGCTCAATTTCTATCGCACAGCGCCAGTAGTCCATTATCGCCAGCATACCCAATACCAAGTCAACAATGATGGCTCTGTCAGTTATACGCAGAAGTGTCTTCTACCTCCTAAGAATGCTAAAGCAACCATCCCGGACCATTATATTGATCAAACTCATGCGGAACGAACTCTATGCAACTCAGACACCTTTTTTTCAATTCCAGAGCCACTTGACGATCTCCCACTCGAAGTATCATTAGATGTTCTAGGCCAACAAAGGAGAAAACGAACAGCAGGTGTACGTGCACTACAATGTTTCACATAATTTGACTTCCCCCTCACAATGTTTAATCAGGACCATCCTTTGTTGACGTGGCTGAATCACAGAGCGTTATTCCTTCGAGAAATGATCCATCTTGAAGGAAGAGTCAGCATGCGGTTGTGCTTAGAGTGTGATGGTCCCAATCCTGAGTACAAATGTCAGGACTGCTTCGGGTCAGAGCTTCATTGCTCAACTTGTATTTTGTCAGTCCATGCGCACCACCCGCTTCACCGATTGCAGGTATGTCTTTGCATTTAATTGTGATAATAGACTTAATCTCAAATACAGAAGTGGAACGGTCAATACTTCGAGCGAATTTCTCTGAAAGCCCTGGGCCTCCGCATTCAGCTTGGTCACATCACTGGCCGGCAATGTGTCAATCCTCACCGTGCTTTTAATGATGATTTTGTCATTATCGACATCTTCGGTATACACGAAGTGTCACTCGACTTCTGCGGTTGTGCAATAGCCGAAAGTCGTATGCAACAGCTACTTCGAATGTCATTATTTCCTTCAACAACCTCAGATCCAAAAACTGCTGCAACATTCCGCGTTCTGGAGCAGTATCACCTGCTCTCATTTGAGTCAAAAATATCTGCCTATGAATTTTATCATGGACTTCGCCGGATGTCTGACAACACCGGTCTACTTCTCATTAAGGTAGGTTCAAAATTTCAAGTATCCTTATGGTCAGTAAAGCTTCTTTACAGGATCGATACGAGTCGTTTATGCGGATGATTCGTGAATGGCGTCACCTGAAGATGCTCAAACGCTCAGGGCAAGGTCACGATCCGAAGGGTGTAGAAGCGACAGCTCAAGGTGAATGTGCTGTATTGTGCCCAGCTTGTCCACATCCAGGGAAGAACCTTCCAGATAATTGGAAAGATGCACCTCGACGGTGAGTTTTAGATAGCTTGAGTGGTATTATCGCTGATATAGATACTATTAGTTGGCTCTACGGATTGTTCCTTGCTATCGATGCAAACTTCCGGTTGAAACGCAAGGCTGTCTCGAATGACAGCGTGGACCCAAGCCTGAGTTCTGGGTGGGCCTATTTCGTGGAGGATGAAGCTTATAAGGGCTTCTTGGACAGCAATTCGGACAATACCCAAGAGGTTGTTTTATTTAAATCTTCTTTTCGTGTATTAATGGTGTTCTACAGAAATCAACATGCTCAAGTCACAACGCTGTGAACATGGCGGACACAAAATCTAATCGTGGACTTGCTGCCACAGGTTTAGGTACTGTTGACTGTGCCCGCCACAACATGAAACGGCCCAACGCTGTTGGAGATCTCCAAAAGGGTGAAAGGTAAATCGTGTTTTGCATTCAGACATTGGTGATCTAACGGTCTGTAGATATGTCAACATGGATTATTTATTCTTCTCAACGCTGCGCCACACTGTAATCGACACTCTGAATGTATCTTACGATATCGCGTGCCAGTGGCACAAAAAATTATGGCACCGTATGAGCACATTTCCAGTCTCAATGCACCTCCTGCCCACTTTCAAAACTATCTCTTTTTTCGTCCCAAAGTTCCACCTTCCTGCTCACATCGAGGAGTGTCAAACCTCATTCTCGTTCAATTTTAAGAGTGGGGTCGGTCGGACTGATGGAGAAGCACCCGAGCGTGGCTGGGCCAATATCAACCCCGTCGCTTCAAGTACTAAAGAGATGGGTCCTGGTGCACGGCGAGACACCCTTGACGACTACTTTGGAGACTCAAATTGGAAAAAGGTAGTTAAACTTGGTTCGTACATTTTCATTGAAATCATCCTTTATTGCAACTGGATACCTTAACCTCGACTACTCCGACACTCAATTGTGCAGACGCACCATGCACCTTCTCTCCATCCACCAGTCGCCTCGATAATACATCAACCCCTTACTATGCCGAGGCAGTTTCGGTCTTGAAGAGCATATTTGGGCTGACCTCCTTTATTATCAGGTCATACTATGCTTCACAAGATGAAGGATGCATTACCGGAGCGGCAGGATCATCACGAAGCCCTTGATGACCTTGAAGAAGGTTTGAGAGGTGAATATAGTGCCGCTCTCGCCCAGTGGAGAGAACAGGTGGAGGCTTGGGAGCGTGACCCTGCAAAGCCAAATCCTTTCGAACGAAGGGCGGAAAGTATGTATGGATCATCATCAGTCACTGTGTGCTGATCTTTCCGTGCATCATAGCTGTCACTATGGCTTCTGTGCGACTGGAACTGGCTAGGGATGACCAGAATGATATTCAAACAGGGACTTGCCTTGCGCTACACGAGGACTGTACTCCTAGTGTATTGATCAGTACTGGCTTAGAACTCGAGGAACAACAGTAAGTCCCCTGAGTGCTGCATATGAGATCTTGGTCTTACTTTTTTCTAGACGGCGAATGAAAGCTGACAGAGCCGGCCTCAGAGTTCACGCAACAGACAATCAAGAAGGGAAGATGCTTCAGCGGAATAACACTCTGCAACGCAGGATCGACACCTGGACTAAATTACAGGAACTATACATGCCGTCGCTCGCTGCACTACGTGTCAGCGAGAGTTCAGTATCTGGTGGCATAGCCACTGCAGTAGCTACACCAGAAACCGTCAAACTCTGGCTACCATCCCAAATCGGCAAGACAGCACCTTGTGACACCCGCCTCCAAACCATCGAATGGAAGCTCCGGTATGCGCAAGCTCACGATGCACTCCGTTCCCTACGTTCAAACTTGCGTGCTCAGACTGCAATCCTCAAGTATAAAGATCGCAACCTTCGTGGACAAGGTGCGAATACGAGGGCACGGAATACACTCAAAGCTGTTGAAGCAAGGCTTGAGGCTGCCGCCAGCACGTATGAGCGTGCCCATAAGGCTCTCGTGGTTCTTGCACCACTGCTGAATCAGATTGGGTGGCACTCCTCACTGCGGCCACTAAACCGAGCGGATATCCGCTCGATGACAGATCTATTATGGGGGGAATCAGAGGGGACAAGAAAACTATCTTGGATCTGGAATATGCGAGGAGCTGCACCTGACGAGATGGACAAGGACAATGCTTTGGAAGGCGAGTACTTTTTTTTTGTTTTGGAAGCTTCAAGCCTAAGGTTCGCGGTTAATTAGATATGCGAATCGAATGGTGCAAAGCCAGGGCACGGGCGATGCGCTGGGCTGAAGAGGTGGAGCTGCTGAAGGAAGAGATGCGGAGGATCCTACAATTTTTCGAATGGGATGCGCAATGCTGGGACGAGCGAGGGCTAGAAGATGCCTTACACGACATGGATGATGATGATGAGCGCGAGGGACTGATAGCATATGCCAAACGTCAAGCTTCGTTATGTCGAAGGCTCGCTGAGTCCTTCAGGACTAGTTGGACTGACACCTTGGCACTGGCGGACATATTCAACCACTCACTCGTCACTCAGCAAGACATGGACATTGATTGATTAGTACCCATAGTACATGCATACGTAGCAAGATCCAATATAAATTTGTGCTAGCATTGGCTGTCTCATTCGAACGAGTAGTAGGTGTATGCGAATGTGGGAGGGCCAACGGGAGGCAAGAACGAGCGGGCCAACGGAGGGGCAAGAACAAGCGGGCGAACAGGCGGGCAAGAAGCATTAGCAAAATGGGCAAGCGGAGCACTACTATGCATCATGATGCATCAACTCCCTCCCGTGCTGATGCATCGGCACGGGAGGGAGCTGATGCATCAGCACGGGAGGGAGCTGATGCATCACAGCGGAAAAGAGCTGATGCATCACAGCGGGAGGGAGCTTGGCAGGAGGGCTGATGCATCAGCACGGGAGGGAGCTGATGCATTAGTGAGGAGAAAGGGTAGTATAATTGCAGCAATGATGCATCACGGGTGCGCTACAGTTACCCTGTTTGATGCATCAGCATGCCACGAACCTGTGGCCTTGTTTCCTGGATGAGTAGCCTCCCTGGGGGCGCTGACCCAATTGGAAAATTTACGTCTCACAACTTTTACATAACCTCCCACGCATCCAAACCATTGACCACTTTGTCAAGAGAATGGATCACGAAATCAAGCCTAAAATCAGCATTCCTGTCCCTTGCCGAAGAACTCCGGGTTTACATTCTAGGTTGCCTTTCTTGCAGAGATATCCTTTGCTGCGCATCTGTGGGTTGTCATCGTCGTCCTAGACAGAATCATATACTGACTCTTGAGCCACTAGTTCTTACAGGTATGCAAGGTCCTTCGCCAGACATACATGTCCTCTTCAGCGTGCCAGTACATTGTCGAACTCAGCGGCCAATGCTTGCTCCCCGTCTCCAACACGGACGACCACACCCCTATTTCCGAGCGCTTAGAACACTTGAGGGATGAAGCTAAGTTGATCGACACTATGTTGTCTTTTGTTATGCCTATTAGTGTATCTATGCTTATTTTGACAGTCTCGTGGCTCATGCTCGACATCTGCGCTAAGACATGGTTTGTTGAAATTCCTATTCTCTGCCTTTCGAGAAACAACGTTTACAAGTTATCTAGTGTTGTATTAGAGTTTGGTCCAGATACCATTGCAAAGTTCGTTGCAGCTGTTGTCGGGTGACTGTACAATGGTTTGTGTTTCGTTGCTTAACCCTGTAATATACATTTAACAGAGATGTGCCGCTCTTGTTGCAAGCAACCTTTTTTCAACTGCTTTTTTTTATCGTCTTGTAATCGTGCAGTTTTCACATCTGCTGCTGGGGTGACTACAGATTGAAGAACTGGCAGCAGAGTGTCGGACTCATTCCAGTAAACTGTTTTGATTTCGCTTTCCACTCGTGAAAGTTTGAATTTCGTTAAGAGTGGGCTCATGCAATGCGTTTTCAAGTTTCATGGGCAATGAGAAATGCGGATCATGAAGGCGTGCCGCTTTATTCTGCGCTGCAGATGTGTCCGCTGAGCGTTGCACGCTAGTCATTAAATTACTGTGTTGATGTTTTTAGCTGTATTCAATTTCTCGTCACCTAGTATACTGCAGCTATGATCTCCTTCATTGTTAATTTTTCTAGAGCAGAATTGAGCCGTTGCAGTTGTATCATAACGAACAGCCACACTCATGATTCTGTCGCATGCCATATGACCTTGCTTGTGCAAGCCAGGTGATCTACTAGACGCCTTCGCAACGGCTTTCTCGGATGGTAGGTCAGGCAGCAAATTCGGGATCATGTCAATGCATCTTTTTTACTCTGCGTTGTCTGCACCTTCGTATTCTACAGTGCCTAGTTAATAGAAAAATGTACGTCTGTTAGATGACCCACAATTACAATAATGATGTGAAGGCCTAAGAATCAAAATTCGTATGGCCAGAGGCACCTAATGCACTTCGGTTGAGGCCTCCTCCATTCCTCTGGTGTCCCAATGAAGACAAATGGTTCTGCAATTACTGAACCTTCGGGTGGAACTGAAACTATATGAATGTAGTTCATCATTGTCCAAGTTGGTGATATCCAAGGGTCGAACCCAAGTTTCATCTGCAGTGTTGACTGGGAATTGGCCATGTAGTACTAGAGCTGCTGACCCTACTAATTCTCATTTGTTCACCGGTTCACTGATGTAGGCTCAGAGCCGCTACGAGGGAATGAGAGCTCATTGTGGTGACGGGTGGGTGTTTATCGATACCGTAGTAATACTTGCGGCGGCGGCAGCATCTCAGTATGAATGGGTTGACTTATCAAGGATCTTGCTCATCATAATACTCGGATGCACTCGCCAGACTTCTCTGTGTTCAAATTTCAAATCGTTTAAACAGGAGCACGGCAACTTCCGCGCCGCGTGTCTGCCTGGTGCCAGCACCTTCACCTATTTGTCTGCTACGCTCACATTCCAGCGCAGTGAGCACTCTCTCCATTTCGACGGACAACGAAAGAATCTACTCCGGAGATACTGTAGGACAAGTTATCGTCATTTCCACGCGCTCATTGCGACCACTCGCATCATGGAAAGCACACACCGACTCCCTGCTGGGCATCGAAGAATGGGGTTCTCAAATCATAACGTGAGTAGCTATCTGTTTTGTCCCGGCTTTTTTTTCTAATATTGTGACTAGACACGGGAGGGATAATAAACTTCATGTCTGGGCACGACCCGAAGAGTGGACCTGCGACTTTGTCAGATCTCTCAACACCCACAACATGTTATTCTATGGATGTCAACACTCTTAACTACTGCAGGTTCTCTCTCCTTGTCCTAGCAGGGGCGAGCACCCAGGAAGGTCTACTCGCCGCTCCGAACCTCGTGGAATCAGCTCTTGTAGGTAATCCTTTTGTTGTGTGGTACGACGTGATCTCAGTATGAACTGACCAGGCAGATATCTGGTCACTTCCATCGTGTCAAAGGCTCCATGCTGCTATAGGTGATCCACTAGACACCTCCGCAACAGCCTTTTCGGATGGCAGGTCAGGCAGCAAATCCAGGATCATCATGTCAATGCATCTTTTTTACTCTGCGTTGTCTGCACCTTCGTCCTCTATGTCAGCAAGATAGCTGCGCCTGTTATGTGTATACGAAGATGGAAGCGTTGTCCTGCGAAAGCGGACTGCACACGAGACCAAACAGACTGTCGAGGGCCGTGGATGGGAAGTCGTGTGGAAATCCAAACTTCATGTAGAATCAGGTTCGTCGAAATATGCATCATTCTCATTGGGATTCTGACGTAAGTTGTCGTTTAAAGTGATGGCTATGGCAGTTTCTTCAGACTGCACTCTTGCTTTGACCGTTTCGGCGGACTATTTAGTGGGATGATATGATCTTTTGGTTCGTGTTCTGGTAGCCCTGCATGAGTTTGCTCTCTGAGATTCTGAACAGAAGACCCAGGAGGCGTCAGAATCCACTCCCGCAGGAACTGCATTCAAGATCAAACATCCAGGAAATGGTGCTGTTGCCATACGGAGCGACGGGAGAGTATGCGCGATTGGGGGATGGGACGGCAAGTCAGTTGACCGGAAGAACTTGTCGTTTAAAATCAAGCTAACTTGTCAAGCAGAGTGCAGTTATATTCAACAAAGACATTAAAGTTGCTGGGAACCCTCGTATGTCAGACGGTTACGTTCGCCTCTCACATTGACCGCGTACCTCTTGGTGGAGACTTGAAGGAGGGTGACTCCTGTAGTGATGAGGATGAAATTACCGTCGAGGAAAAGCATGCCCGTGGTCGGTGGTTGATTGCTGGTAGTACAAACGCGAAGGTGTCGATCTGGGCGCTGATGGACTTCGAGAAGACAAGCACATCAGTTGAACCGATGCCCATGGTAAAATGAGGACGTGGCATATTCCTTGCTTGTTAATTAATTGTATGTTTGTGTGTCGCAACTAGTCGTCTGAAATAAGACGTGGCTGAGCCAGCCTGGATGATTCAAATAAACCAAAGCAACCTTCAGCGGGCTCAGGTATTTTGCCGCATCACACCGAAACATACATTCAATGCTCATTTCCGAGAACTACTGTAATCATACACAAGATAATTGACCTAGCAGTATTACTCGTCGAACTCATCAACTATCCGCCTCTCGGACATGCCTTTGAGAGGCTGAATTTAGAGGTCCGTCTGTGATGGATGTAGACGTTGATCTAGAGTGCCTTGGTATACGAATGTTCGAACTCTCGTTGGCTGCAGGCGCTGCAGGGAATAAATAATGAAGAAAAGACGCTGGCACGCACCAATACTGATGGAACCCATATGAGGGTCTCCCAGAGCACTGGAATCATGGTGACCGAGATCCGTATGCACCAGAATTTGAAGAAGAACTGGATGTGTGTCGTTTTCATATTCACGGTGATGGGAAGTGAGCCCGAAGTCGTTAAGAAAGAGAACATACCAAAAAGCCCAAACCACGGCCAAGGAAGGTACATGAAAGTACTTGACGTGCGCGAGGATGAGCGTGCTGTTGTGTTCGCCTGTGACTCGGTGCGTGATATCTATCGATTTATATGAGGCGACGATGTCAGCGAACGAGCAGGCTCGGCCTGAAATCAAATTACCTCACGCTTTCCTTGACGCGCGAGGCTCTTATTTTGGACCTGAACGCATGATTGTTAGTCCATATATCTTAGGATGAAGGTGCACACGTACACATTTCTCCTTTGTCAGACCGCTGAGAGCCAACTCGTCGAACTCGGGAGGAGTGTCTACGGCAGTCGCATTTGCATTCTCGACGAATGCCTCGCTGATGATGTTCATGGCGAATCCTTGGCCGCTTTTCAAGTTGGTAGCCGTGTCTTTCAGGCGGCCCGCAGCGTTGTGGTTGACTGGCAGGTAGTAAGGTTAATTCCATCTGGCGATGAAGATCAATTGCCAGCCAAGGCTGCAGAGGTGCATGAATTACTGAGAACAATGCACACCATGGACAATGCTGCAGGTATACTTGGTAGGAAGGATGCGTTGGTGCGGTGCGGTAGTGCACAGCCACCAAATCTCAGAATTGCCGCACCCTACTAAGTTACGTGTGAACACCTCGAACCACCTTCACAGACACGTCTGTTACTTCCGGATGTCCATAAACGTCAGCGCTTCAGCTCTCACTCGCCATTGCAGGATCATATTCGCCGTGGACTAAGTCCCGCTTTGGATCAGCAATAGCTGTTCTTCTTTTTTCAACCATCGGTTCGGCCCGAAAGAATGTCCGTTTGCAAATTCTATGTTGACGTTGCAGCATGAGTTGTCCGACTCGGCGGACATAGAATCACGGTGGTCAGGTGTGTGCATATAAATACCCAAGTACTGTACTTACTGTCATTGTCAGTTCTCCCAGCCCAGGATGGCAGCCGAATCAGAACTTCGAATGGTTCATGCAGAAGCGGCTTCCCTGCAAGACGACAAAGAGGGCCCAGAGATATTGGAAGCATGTCGAGTCTCCAAGCATTGGGACCCTCCCTCAAGCCCGCACGAGTTTTCCGAAGGTGGTTTGGCAGGTTTGGCAACTGTTTTTGGAGCGTAAGAAGGCAAAATATTTGAGCTGGCTCCTACTCAGTCCAAACAGGTTTCTGGTACAGTTTTGCGGGTTCGGGTGAGTCTGGTGCAGGTGTTGGCAGGAAATAGCTCTATGACTGACTTGATTTAATAGTTATATCACTTCATTTGGTGTCTATCAAGGTATTGCTGCACACGAAAGCGAGCATGGACCATTTTACATATTGCCCTCCAGACTTTTATACCCAACATTACCTGACAAATGAGACGTCGTCTGCTATATCGTGAGTTTCTATTTGCGTTTTCATGGCAGATATCCTCAAGACTTGTAGATGGATCGGGAGCACTAGCACTTCTTTACTCATGCTCGTGGGCCTCGTGTCAGGTTCAGTGCACGACTGAAGGTATTTGTGAGTGTAGATCTATTGGAAGTTCTCGACGATACTCAGCAAGCTTCACTAGTTACTATCTCATAATTGCCGGGTCGTTTCTGGAGTGAAGTTATCTTTGTTCATGTTATCTTTGTCGAAACCGGATCAGTACTACCAGGTAATGTTCCCCAATTTTTAAATCTCGGTTTCTGACTCAGTCAGATATTTCTCTCTCAAGGAATTAAATTGTCTCTGTGAAAAGTAGCTAAGGTGAAGCTACTCAGATCAAAGTATGTTTGCCAGAGTCCTACAATATCATGATCGGCGTCTTGCTGATACTTTTGCAGGTGTGCTGGGTGCCTTCTGACTTGAAGCCCTGATTTTCTTGCCACATTCGTGATATACTCGAGCCGTCCGTTTCTTTTTAAAAACTCATCACGCTTGATATCGCTGAATTTTGCATGACACAGACAATTATTGTTGATTTATTTCAACGACCCGATAGTTGTAACATCCGTACGACAACTCATTCTTAAGAACAGAATTCCCCCCTTGTACTCCATTCGCCCGAGTCCACCGACTGGTCCAGATGTATGAGCAGGACCGCTGCATGACCAGCTGTCTGAACTGACATGCTACGCAAGGTGATAGTGATCAATGACGATGGTGTCAACAATTAGGTCCGTGTCATAATCTAGTTCGATGTTTCACGCTGACAGATGTGCCATTTTTTCTATGGCTATTGACAGATCGCAAGGACCAGAATCAAAAGTTAATGCACAATTTTACAACCGCTGAAACTTCACTGTTTGTGCTCAGACAGACGATGATAAGGGAATTTGTCGTTCTCGAGCTATCACCTGTCTGAGCTCAGACACGCTGCTTTTATTTTCCTGACTCACAGAACTTTCGCATTATGTTCCACATGCCTGCTCCAGACGCATGGTTCGACATGAAAGCAGAACCAATGTGTTATTAGCCATCTGTGCTTTACAATGATTGGTGATTACTCGAGCCATAAATCTCTTAGAATCATCATACTCCACATCATTGAATCATACTTGAACGCAGACAATTGTCGTTGACGACATGACTCGCTGACAGCAGTCACTTCAAGTTGGTTCAATCAGATGATCGACTTCCATCTCCAGGACGTCGACATCCTACTTCTACCCTTCATGCTTGATTTGGCACTCCTTTCTGCAGCCCAAATAGATGATGAACATTGAAAGTGTCCAGGCATTCTAGCTGATCTGACGCGTTATCAGCCATCTGTGGTTTCATGGCTCTCCAGTCGCTTCTTTTTTTCTTTGCTTGGTCACATGATAGAGCCAGCGATTTGGTCAAAGTACGTACGTCAGAATATCGTGATTGGTGCCTTACTGATACTTTCTAGGCGCGCTTGATTCCTTCCAACTTGAAGCCCCGGGCCTCTTCTCTATTGTCCATTCAGCACTTCTCCTTGCCACGTGCATTCATTCAGGACAGGCATATAATCACCCGTAAGTCTTTTTTACAATCATCATACTCGATATGGTTGCAGCGTTGAACCATGCTTGAGTGTTGAAGGTCTGTCTCGCCCTCAAGAGGGAGAAGTGTCCCCTTAGAGGTATATTCAGAGACCCGGTAGTTTTTTCACCCGGGTCGGACTTCAATCCCTCGATGCCGAATGATTTTACAGAACGGGAAACTCCACTTTCTTCTTCGTTACCCAACGATCTGTCTCTTGCTCCTTTGTCCAATAACCTTCTCTCTTTATCTCGCGAGGATCTTCAAATCCGCGATCTCGATAAGAACGTCAGCGATGAAGATGGAGGGAATGAGCATTCACTTTTGCTATCTTTTCCCGAGGCTACTCCTGCCACCCTTGTATCGCCCGCTCTCCCTGTTACTGCACACATGTACCCGCAGTCCCTCAAGTCACTAGGTACAGGAATTGAAGAGGGTCTGCGGAGGGATGACATCGAGAATAGCTATTGGCCGAAGCTACTCAGGATGTCTCCAAAGTCGTCTCCCAAGTCCCTTAGTGCCGATTTAGGGCCAAGTGCGTCCGCAAGCGAGACTAATCTGCAGTTGAAGAGGGTCTTGTTGTCTCAAAGGAGGCTTGGGATGGAAAGTCCCTAGAGGTCCCTCCTTCGGTTATGTCCCTCGGTTCATCCTCACCTACGAAAGGCTATGCACGTGGACTACTGAATCTGGCAGTGTCTTCGACATTACCTCGTATGTTCTCTTATTTTTTTCTGTAATACTGATGTCTCTAACCCCGTCAGAAAAACGTGCTTATCTTGGGAAAGGTAAGGGGAAAACCCAAGATGCACCCCGCAAGGAGCTTCCACCTTTACACCGCAAGCTTAAAGCAAACGCTTGGAATCATGGTTTGATAAGTTCACTTATCGTTAAAGCGTAAAAGGTCAGGAGAAGGATAACGAGGAGACTAAAAGTTGGCTTCGGACGAGGGAGGTAAGTTCTATCTATTTTGTACTTCATAAGGGCCCCGTCGTCTTTAATCCGTTCTTGCTGGATGGAGACTTCAACCAAGAGATTCGGTGTTTCTCCTTTCTTTCGTTTGAGATGAAATTCGTGCTCATGTGTATCATTCCAAACAGAATGTACCCTTAGCGTTGAATGCAGTCCTTCCTACTTCCGAGCTCGCACAACTGCCAGAAACAGGAAAGGCATTTGCGATGGAGGGTCATGCTGCTCGTACCACCGCTGAGCAGGACAATGGTAAAGATGTGAAGGCATCTTCAGGTGCCAAGAAAGGTGCTGTGACCGAGACTTACCAGGGTACGGAGAGCAAGATTGGGACCAGCCAGAAGGCTTGGTTGACGGGTGAGTCCTCGCGTGAAGTTGGATTTCACTAATTTCATACTCTTTATCAGTGAAATCCGCATCAACGTTTGTTTCACCTATGCTTCGAACCTCCCTTATGATTCTTGGCGACGTCGCCAAACTTACAACTATCCCTGGGCTCCACAAAGCTGCGAGGACTTTGCTGGCAGTATGGGAGGCTGTGGATGAAGTCGCGGTAAATGTTTGATCTCCATCATTCTCTTTCCGGAGTAGAGTTTGAGATGGAACTTACGTGGTTTCAACAGACCAACCGCCTGCAATGTCTTCGCCTTACCGAACGCTGTGCGATGGCGATTTACTTTGTGCGCGCTGAGCTTGCTGATGCTGAGAGGTGACATGCAGTCTCAGCAAGGTCAAAATGGAGATGTTGGTGTTGTGGGGCTGGCAGAGGAGATGGAACGTCCCGTCAGGAAGCTGAAAGAGTGCATTGAGATGGTAAGTTTTGCTGTGCTTTAATTTCGTCACGGATCGAGCAACCATTTTGTTTGTCTTATGCTTGAGCGCTAATACTCATTCTCCAGGTGTACCACTTCCTTCTAAAGCTCAACCGTCGTCCGGTCCTCAAGCGGTTTCTGTGTAGCGACGAAATCCAGCAGGAAATTCAAACATGCGACGAGGCGCTTGGGGATGCAATGCAGATGTTTAGCGTGAGTATCATCTTTGCTTCCGTTTTCGGTTAACGTCCATCTAACTTTGACTTGACATAGATTTCAATCCAAATAAAAATTCTCCAAGAATTCAAACGCTTCGCGAGGGATACGCGTCTTGATGCTGTGCACTATGCGCAAGGGCCTACGCCTCCACCTATATACACATCTCCTCCGTCACAGACCGTACCCGTTTCCTTAGACCGCACCCGAACGGTGGGGACACCGGCACTTCCGGAACCGCGCGACATTCTCCCAGCGGCATCTGGGCTGAGTAGGAGTCCTCCAGCCCAGAATCTACCGTTGTCTCCACTTCAATCCGTACAATCCCAGACAAATGACACTGATTCACCCTCCGATATGCCAATCTCCCCTCTTACTGAGCTTCAGGACCTTCACGTTGCCGAAAACGCCTCTGACAGAACAAGACCGTGCACTATTCTGCAGCGCACTCCAACGTGCCATTAGTGCTCGAAGGGATGATGAAGTACTACCAGAGCGACTGATGTTTTGAAGCACTACCACGGGTTTAAAATGCTGCGAGAAACCAAAATTGAAGCTTGGTTAGGGAGGTTTTTTGAGCATCCTATGATTAAGACTTGTGGTGATGAAGAGTTATATCTGGACAGTTATGAGCGGCGAGTGCATATTTTTAATGGGTGTGGGGTGACTTGTAGATATGCCCAACGCGAGTCAGGTGGCTAACACAATCAATAGCGGGAGGGGGCCACCTTAGCCCTCCATCAATGATCACGATCACAGCATAAGTTTAAACTCAGATCATATGATCTCCCGCTAGTGTTTACACGGCCACCTTCAAGTTCATGGGTTCCATTGCATCATAAGAGCTAAGAAGGCGTATGGTGTGTATGTGAAACACATTCTTGCTTTCATCTCCCCTCTGGTGTTCCACGACCACTGAAACATTTTGTTCACTTTCACAGATACGACTAGCCCGATCCCGGGAATCACAGGGTGCTACCTCTTCGTACAATTTCTCCTCCTTTCCGTGTTCGAATTGGGTGGGTAACCAGGAGCATATATATGTACAAATTTGCACGCGCTGACGCTGTTCTCCCCAGGACTCATGATACTCACGCTTACACGCGCCATACAGGGCTGGCGAACAAACACAAGTTGTCTGTATGCTATCCTGGTGAACCATAACATATCTTATTATGCATGTGGTCTTCGTGAGTTAACACTCATACATACTGTTTTTCTGTACTCATCCATGATCATTCTCTTTCGTGAAGTGTCCTTGGTAGCGAATATCTTCACATCGCTCTTCCAGGTGTGTGGATATATCAGATACCCTTTTTGACCGAGCATTGATGTTCTGCTCCCCAGTACTCTTACCACAACATGTTTTATGAGTATGCACATCCACACCCTGCTACGTGTTCCTACTAACAACACCCGACGCGTGCACCCACGTGTTGATAGCCCTTGCAATCCTCGCCATGTGCATGCACCTCCATCTCTGGCGGACGAACCGACATCCACACAGCTCTACTGGCGCGCTCGTGCATATTCCAATGTCTGCGCTTTGCAAACACGTGACCCGATACAATTAAAACTCAGCCCGGGTCAGCCGCGACCTGCCAAAGGCCCCAGACTCTGGCCCCAGACTGGCCAAATCTCTGACATTCACATCTCCAGTCAGTTTCCGTAAACGAAGCGTGCGGCTAACGTACGCAATCGGGTTGATTCTGTTCATGCCTCGCGCTCTATCGGCTATCACCGATGCCACCCAGGCTCACACGTGCTCCGTGCAGAACATATACTCTCATTTGACATACTTTTGGTGCCAACCACTCACGGAAGATAAATATTAGCGTGTTATTGAGACCGCTTGTCTACTTCCAGTTCTCCAACTGCTCCCAGATGAGGATCTGATTGAGGTACGTGGGTGAATTAAACTTGATATAACTGCTTATGTTCTATTTCAGATCGGAGAAAAGGTCGATGGGCTCTGTCCTGGAGAGATGCGACCAAGTTCATCTGAGGTGTTTCCTATATTGAAACAGTTTCAAAGTGTACTGGACCTACTTGGTTGCGGGACGCGGTTCAATAAGAGGTCCCCTACTTATTCTCTTCGTGCTTGGGATGCAGGGATGCCTAATCCTGAACTCGTACACGCTAGTTTGGTGGGAGACCAAGTCAGTATCTTTTTATCGATTTCTTCATTTCATTTCTAAATCCTGGCGCAGCAAATTTGACTGAACAAACTCGTTCTATCAGATGCTGTACGGCTGCCTAGGGATTGGTCAAGCGATCTCCATATGCTTACTGTAAGTCGGTTCCTATCGTAGATGGTGGCACGCTCGCTCAATAACTTACTGCAGTGATGCTGGGATGGACTTCATTTTCTATTATGCGTCTCAAAGCCTGCACCACAAGTCTGTACGTAGCGTCTTTCATGCATCCTTCGACACTACAGTGAGTGATTGTATATGAAAGCGCCAACACCAATACTACCGACAAGCATCGACAATTCTCTTCGAGAATCGCAACCACAGAACGCTCGCTCGAATCACCGGTCTCTCACCCCAACATCTCACTCGTTGCTTCATCATTTGAACCTGCAGTGACCCTGCCAGTGCAGCGACAAAGTTGAGAAGTTGATCGTCTATATGTTAGAGAGGATGTGTTAGGCAAAGCAAATATTCAACGAGGCCACATTCTGAACGTACGTTGCAACCGGTTTCGGCCTTAGGGCGGGTGCACTTGTGATGATTCAGGACAGAGTGGAATGAACACACCGTCGGCGTTCTGGTACAAGTATAATAAAATATTCGATTTCATTGTGCGAATCAGTCAAAGGACTTGATAAGCACCGTGACCCATACACTTAGCAGTGAGCGTAGGTGCCAAATAAAATATTCATATTAGTATATGCTAACCAAAATTCTAAAAAAGGTAATAGCAGGCGGCAAGGTCGCAAAGAGTCACTACTACATACCAGTACACGCAACCACCACACAACCACCGCCTGAAAAGTCCGCAAGCCGTATAATATGGTATGCACAATTATTCTGACCTGCACAGTTCTAAGGCGGCTGTTATATTCTAGGCAGGAGGCCCTCAACAACAGGTGGCGAAGTTGCTGGAGCGTGGTATTGGTATCTGGCCGACTCAACTTCCACGGTATGCTGAAGTAGTAATGCTGTGAGTACCCATTAGCTAATACTTTAATTTGAATAACGTTTTCTCCATATCATAAGTGCAGATGATGGATATGAAAATACCTCGGTCCGCGTAAAAGAAATCGATAACCCTCGGTAGGTCGCCTTTGTTACTACTTAATAGTCTCAATTCAACGCTATCAACAGGCCCGCAACATACGGGAATTGGCAGGAGTTGGTCCACCCGTTGGGTGGTACCTATTATTACCACAATACCAAGGCAAGCGCTGGCCAGTTGCATAAGGGATACGCTCACATAGAGATTTAGAACGTGTTTACACCAATGAACCTAAGGCGTTATGTAGGTCTACATCATCTCGAGGATTTTATCGATGCATCGCGGGCCGCAGCGAATGAAGATAGATGGACACTTGTCGTTCTCCCAACAATCTTCATGGGAGAAGAACGATTTCAATACTATTACGTGGTCCCCGACCAACACATCATTGCTTGGCTAGAAGATCTGAACGGTGAACTGCTATTTGGAGAATGTATCCAGCCAAGTGAATGGAGACATAAGAGTATGTTGTTGCTTTTGCTTTTTCTCAAGTTTGTTTTTGATTACACAGGACTTGAACTCGAGGCTCAATACTGGTAAGCAGTCAATGTCACTCAATTAACCGAGCGTTTCTCACTGTTCGGCAGGAAACACTTCGAATTTTTCCCCCATCAGTTCCAAATGGACACCTCGCAAGTGAGACGCATACAGAGAGAACTTTTCTGCTACATTGGAGGTAAGCCTATAGCGCTGCAGTGACTGCCAGAGTGACCTGAGAAAAAAATAGAAGCCACAACTTTGGGTCAATCTTCTGCCGCTTCAATGTTCTGGACTCTCGACCAGATGAATCAGATTGGTGTACATTTGGCCACCATTGGTACGTGCTCGTGTCTATCCTACATATCATCCTGACGACCGAGCAACAGAAGGCCTTGTCGATAATGGGATCATAGAAGAAACTGGCGTAGTATTCTGTTGTACGTGAGCCTCGGAAAATTGGGCCTTTCAAATACTGATTTCTCTTTAACAGGCAGGATATTGTACATCATACGTACGTGGTTTTCTTATAATCGGACGTTATTAATTTACCAGACCGCGTAGGGCACCACCAGTTTCTGAACCGCCACAACCAACCCGAAGCTCGCCTTATTCGAAGCCATGCGGTGAGAAAGAAGCATAGGACGTGTAAACTTCTTCTTTTCATGGGCAACGCTGCAGCTATGGTGTTGTGCATGCCCATCACGATTGATCGCATCAAGAGTACTTCCGTTGATGGTATCTTGAATGGGGTGGAAGTCAATTCATTTATCGACGATTTCAGTAGCCAAGCGAAAGGTCAAATCACCCTAGTAAGTGCTATGTAAAGGAGAATGCCTCTATTTATTTTTGTACTGATAGGCGGGAGTCTCTATGGCCATGGATATCGCCATCCTTGCCATTCCAGGTCTAGGCGCAACGGAGACCTCACAAATTATGTGCTCTTGCTCTTTACTTTTAGGTGTTGGCTGCATTTTCACGGGCACAATGGTGCAACACTTTGGTGAGAGAATGAGATCCATGGACTTCGCGGTTCGATTTACACTATCTTTCTGTACCCTAACTGACCTTTCCAACCTCACAGTCATATTACCTGCGACGTAAGCCAAAGATGTTCATCATCATTATAGGCATACCAACTTCTTTCTGTGTACTGAGGTAAGCAATCTTTGATCGTGATCACTTGTGTCTCATAGAATTACTGGCAGTGTAACGTGTTCCATTCTCGGGTTTCTCTCAGGTGTCGCCACAGACTTCAAGCCTTCCGCGCCATTAATGATTGCATCCCTTATTACACTCAGCGTTGTGATAGGTTCGTTGTTTGTTTTGGTGCTTGCCAGTTATGGCCCAGGGCCAGCCAGGGTGCGGCCCCAGTAGTATACTTCTCTGGATATTTGGGAGGATACTCTCCAGAGTGGAGTACTGAAAATATAGGGTGCAATATACTTAGGCAATCAGACTTGTATGTGCTGCATGCATCACAAAATCGGGCAGGATATGCTTTTGATAGATGAGGTTTACCAGATTAAACCAGAATTTCATGGCATTGTATGATAATGTATCCTATGACAACGTATTATACACGCAAGCAAAATGACACCAAGGGATGAGATATTGCAAACAAACTACAAGTCTGATGAAAATATGCAATACCTTACAAGTATGTTTATTCTACTACAAAGTGATATACAAGCAAGAGAAAAATGGCACCAAAGGACAAGACATTATGAGTAACCTACAATTCTGGTGGAGATGTGCAATACCTCACAAGTAGTAATCTTAGTTCGGTTCCAGTCTGCTTGGGCTCGGACTCCGACTTCCCTGGTTTGCTAGTAGTTTGGCTGTCCAATGCAAACCGAGTCACCTGTTGGAATTTAATGCAGTCTGCTAGTCACACAAACCACATTGAACCAGCTCCAACCCAAAAAATTAAGAACTACAGCTTGAGCCAGCTTTAACTAGCTTTAACCAGCTTGAAAACGTGGCTCTCAGGTTCTCACTCTCTCGTTGGTTTTTACTGTAGTATTTCTGATACTTATATATCATGAACAAGGTCCTCATTTGAGTTGATGGTAGATTTAGGCTTGGCAATGTTTTGGGATCTGGCTCATACCATATGTTATTCACATACCAACTATATGTTCATTCAGATTCAACTTATAGACCCCACCATTTAGCTGTTGTGTGCCATGCATGAAACATCATTAGGTATTAGGCATTTGACTGCAGTATGGCAAAGATTTAGCTAGCTTTATCTAATGCATAATACTTAAAATTGATATCACAATTGCAGACCAGATGATGAAGCTTTAGATAGTCAGGTTATGCTGATGGAATCTACCAGAGCTGGAATAATGACAGATGTATGGTAGTAAATTGTGATCTACTACCAAATTGATGATATTCAAATAATAGTGGCTGGCTTTACATAGGCAGGTTCTGATGGTGGGGTTGACCATCGCTGACACAGTTACCTGGTGAGACATGAGACAATGGGTCAAAAATGATGGCTAGCTTTACACAGGCCACCTGTGACTCCCACTTAACGACCGTAATTATAGTTGATAATAGATGGGATTCGCACCTGTAAGACAAGGCGGATATAAGCGATCAGAGCCTCCTCTGATATCTCTTGAATAGTGAGGGACTTTATATAGTGCTGTAGGATTAAGAGCTAAGTGCCGCCGGCATATCGGTAAACGCCGCGACGTGTTCCTGACGTCGCTTAAGGTGCCGGACTTTCGAGTTCGCTGTGCGACACGATGAGCTCGAGTATCTCGCGATGACGTGGATGGATTGATGGCGCGTTTTGCGCAAGTGAACATTAAAATACGTAAATCAGTCATATTTGTCCATACAATGTGTTAACTATGCTATACTACTCTTCATCAGCGTGGTCATGAAGTTCCAGACGCGAGAAATCATCGGCGACACGGAGGACATCCTGCAGGCTTCTCGATGCCTCCTCTTCCACCTCCTCTTCCTGTTCCTCCTCATCCAAGTCATCTGGAGTATCCGGCACCACTGCAGATCGTCTATCATTAAAAGGTGGGTGCCCTGCCAGTAGTTGTGATGGGACCTGCGCGTTGGGTGTACTGGAGCTTTCTCCAAGACCTGTATTAGTGCTCATACCTGGGGCTATGGTCCCGCTGAAGCCAGGAAGGTTCGAAATGTCATAGAGCCGCTTCAGGTGACGCGAATTAAACCGTCCTCGAACATTGCGATGTATAGCGATTTGGTTGGCGAGAGTTGGACTGACAGACTTCAACTGATCCTCGCACGCCCGCAGATATTTGTCTTCGTCTTGAATGTACGTCACTAGGCGCCGTACCTCCACATTCAAGCGCTGAATTTCCTCCCGCGCCCGACACATCTTGAAATAGAGATCCATCGCTCTGCGAGCAGCAGCCGATGCCCAAGGCCGTTGAGAGATGTCTGCACGCGTGTCGCGCAAGAGGTCAAAATCAGCGAGAAACACATATTCGACGACCTCTTCCCACTTTAGGGTTTTGCGGGCAGGGTACATCGAGCTGGCGATAGAGTTGTACGTGGTAAGTGCAGATCTAATGGCGATGGAACGAGCCTGGAGTGCTTTAGCGATATGCTTCCGTAGTTTATACCCTTACATGGTATTGGAATTAGCACGCGCAAGTAAGATATAGCTATTAAAAACTCACCTGTACCCGCTCGGTTCATCTTTGTCAACTCAAATATGCGGGCAACAATCAATCCCTCGAGACGATCCAGAGCACGCTGGTATTTCCGGTTTGCCACGAGTCTTCCAACCTTCTGCCACTGCGCGTCTTCTGCCACCCAGCGTTTCTCGACCTCCAGCTTACACTCGAGTACTTGAGCGAGTTTCAGGTGCCTGTCGTAATCCTCAAGAGCGTGCCGTCGCGCACTCTCGGCTTTGCGGGTATTTTTTACCTGCCCATCGTATGATGCACCCTCGAGGTGAGATGAGTCCTGGAACGCTGTCATTGCAGCATCCAGAGCCTCCCTGTACAATTTGTGTTAGTGAGCGCGAGGCATATACCTCAAGAACTGAACTTACTTGCTCGCAGCAAGATTTGCCAGCGTTTTCCAGTATTCCATCTGCAACGTTTCGTCCGCAGGTTCTTGCGTCAGACCTTGTAGATATACCTTCTCTTCCTCCAGCCAGCGCTCGAACACAGTCTCGTCTGCGACTTTGAGATCCCGCATAAGGTTTGGTAGGGTCGTGCTACCATCATTCAGTATGTCGAGCGCTTGCCTGTAGTTGTTGTATAAAAAATCGGCTGAAAAGGATTATGTCAGCACAGATCACGTTTTACAATGAGACAGCTTACATAGATTGGCATACACTTCGAAGTCATCGTTGTGTTCGAAATATGTGTCGATGGCTTGTTGTCGATGGAATACGCTGGCATAACGTAGTGCGGACGCCAATGAATTGGACTTCGAGAACGTTCGTTCGCATACCTCCAGGTCCTCGAGTCCCAAACCTTTGATGTAAGTAGTAAGCGAGAAAAGTTGGCACAATCACCTGTGCGCATGTCCGTGGAAGGCGCCGACAAGGCAAGTGTGATGCAGAGACCGTGCAAGGGGTCCAATAGAACTATTATCGAGCGTGGTCCTGAATTGACAACCGATGTCATACCCGCCACCCAAATTGCTTCCAAATACCTCCAGCAACTTCGAAACAACGGCCAACGGATACTTCGCACTGTAAAACAATTGTGAATTTATTAACAACGTACCCAAAAAAACTTACAGCTCGCCACTCTGTATCATATCTGCAACGAGCAGAGTGAATCCATGTCGGCACACGGCCACAAAAATGCCCATCTCATCGTAAATACCCCATGCTTTCTTCGTCTTTGTATCGTCCATATTCTTCCAGCGTCCTTCACACGAGTTCTCGGCATGTATAACCTAATAGTTAGTATTAGCCGTGACCAACCCAAATCAAAGTGCCTCGTACCTCATCATCCGCAGTAGCGGAGTCCCGCGCGAACTGATCTACATAAGTGCGAGATAGATAGCGGTTGCTTGTGAGTTGCTGTCCAGTTGGAAGCTCTGAAGATGCGCCGAGAGAGTCGTCAGTATCTAGAGATCTTCGAATGACTCTTTTTAAAGAGTCGTTGCCGTCCATGGCGTAAAGCAAGCTAAAAGTCAACTTGTGTTCATCCATTAGTATGTATGTGCATGCGGGGCAGGCGTGTTTCAGGCGAAAATCGGGTGAGTCACGTTGTAATGACTCAGCTACCATGGCTGCCACGGAACGTCGAACTTGAAGATATAAGTCGAATGCAATAGAGAACTGACGAGATAAGTGTCTGTGGAATGCAACCTGTGCATGATAAGATATCAGAATATCAAAACAACTAAAACGACATACACCATGTAAGTCACAAACAGTTTTTACGAACGCTTGAATTGACAATTGAGGACTCCTGAGATGTGCTACACGATATAAGTCGAGTGCTTCGGTGGTGATGCCCACGGTTGGCGATATAGGAGAACACGGCATTACGCCTTGACGGACCAGCGCAGAGCTGATGGTGGCGTCTGTTGACAAGATTCGAAGACTGACTTTCTCAGCGTCTACAATGAGCCGGACATGCCGTCATCAAATCGTAAGCAAACAACAACAGATCGGATCACTTACAGAACACGTCTATCATGCTGATTGACCATTGGCCACAGTTAGAGTCACTCCCCAACCCTTCCTTCTCCAATCTCTCAAAAAAACCTCTGAAGGCGTCCTCACATTTGGTCAGACTCCACACAAGGTACGCGTCGGTCATCACAACCATCTGCTCAGCAAACGCATTGTTCCTGCAGAGGACGCGATCACGACGGGTGCATTTATCCACGCGTTGTACACGATTGTTGCTGCTCACAAAGGTACGTCACATTTACGGTAAATACTCACCAACACTCACATTTTCCAAAAGTCTCCTAAAACCTCTCTTGCAAGGTCAGTGAACTCGCCACCAGCGTGACTGATGGCGAGTGACTCGGTCCCATTCCATATATCGCCAAAGCTCATATCTTCGAAGTCTTCCTGGCAGTCCTCTATGGTATTGGTGTCCTCTTTTAGCGCTTCGAGAGCGCGACGCTCTTCCAAACTCATAGCTTTACAAGAGGTGAGGGTTTTTTTTAAGTATTTGAATTAACATTAAATACCTTGTAGACGTGCTTGCCGCCGCTCGTTGGAACTTGCCGCTTGCTGAACCAGCTGTGTGTGTTTGAGCACCTTGGATACACAATTGACTGGCAATCCATTCTTGTCCCTCGATGCCCCAATGTGCCGAATGGATCGCAGAGAGAGGTTTGTGCGGACTCGCTGGTGTACTCTACCATTCCGTGCCATTCAAACATTTGTGCTACTAGTACTGTAGGTCAGGTCCTATCTATTCTTCACGTGACTGATTATCTGTAGCACTCCGACCAAGTCCGAATTCACGACATCACTCCTACGATGTCGACATCATCTAGTAGCCACCCTACCCAGGGTGATCATATCCAGGATTTGCGCACTTTGCTGCAGGAGATGACACTATCAGGTGAGTGTTGTCCTCATTCAAAACTAACATGTTCACACTCAATAACAGAGTCGTCGTTTGACACCGTCACTTGGAGCCGCAAGACAACTGAAGAGTCTATCACACTGTCAAGATCATCGCTCCCGCAATCCAGATGTTCCAGCACTCGTTCTTTCCCCAAAAAAACAGTGCCCATTCCTCCTACCCCACCTCGCATGTCTACCCCACCCCACCCCCAGCCTCAGGCTTTGCAAACGGTCACCCAGACACCCTGCCAAGTCACAGCAGTTCTAAAACCTAGCGATATCCGTCCTCCACGAGCTGATGAGGTACCTGAGGGATTCTGGGCGATAACAGTTGGGCAGGAAGTTGGTGTGTTCTACCGCTGGTAAGCCGAGTACCTGTTGGCGTGTGTTGAATAATTGTTGATGTTGTGGTTAGGGCTGACGTCGCTGAACGAACAAATTTCGTCAGTGGTAATGTTCAGAAAGGGTACCCGTCATTTCAGCAAGCATTGACTGCATACGCGGTCAAATATGACGAAGGCAGAGTCCGGGCAGTTCCACTGCCAGGTGGTCCTTTCTGGCCATCCCCTCCAGAGTCCTCGCCCAACATTCCTTCACCTGTAGACTCATCTGCGAGTTCAGACTCGCATGATCTGTGGTCGCAGCTTGAGGACTTGACGGAGACAATGAGCCAACTCTAACAATTGCTACATAGTTGTTACTTAGTTTTGATTGCGTACCGTACATGTATTGGTTTGAAAAAATGAAATTGCGCAATGTATTTTACTGGCGTTTGTGTTGTGCGGCCATGTGATGTGCCTCAAGCTTAGTACTGGTAACTACCAGCGAGTTCAAGTTCATACAACCTAGTATACAATGATCTAGGAATTAATTCTACGATCCTGCAACGGTGACTAAGTGTTAGATGTACTACCAGCGCCATTAATGCAGCATTTGTCAGAATATATATTCACTAAATAGTGTAGCAGTGCAGCATGCACAGAATATCAGCATATGTTGGTCAGTGTCACTAGCACAATTGCATCACGCATCGAAACTACTTACAGTCCCGCCGTAGTCATAAACGTTCCACACAACCACCACAACATTATTTCAGCTTCGGGTCAAGTATGTATGTCTGCCTCTGCCTAATAAATATTTCACTTTTTTCAATATTTTCTGATAGTGTTGTGTTCATGGGCCCGAGCCTCCGCACACCAATGTTCGATATATGTTCGCTAGTTGTAAGTGGTCATAAACGTTTCACGAAGCACCACAACATTTTTTCAGCTTCGTGTTGAGCGTACATACTTGCCTCTGTCAAATAAACATTTCGCCTTGTTCAATATTTTCCAACAGCATTGCATTCACAAGCCCAAGCATCATTACACCTATGTTCGCTACATGTACGCTATGGTTCGTTATAGGTTCACTATGCTCATACTATGTTCGCCATGCGTTCGCTATGGTGGATGGTGTATAATGATATTAAAACTTATCAAAGTCAAGTGCGCATGTTGATCCTGCCAGTGGTGATGAATTGAATACTATAATCAGTCTACAGTATCGATGTATCTAGTTTAACCTCGATGAATTTTATCTCTGACATCAGGGAGACGAGCAAATCGTACAATAGAATGCTGTCGTACTTGAGGCGCTGCCTGCAATAAGGGCAGTTGGTGTGTACAACCTCCCGGATACTATCCAAAATCATCCTCCCCTCTGAAACATGCTGCGCACATTGATCCAAGAAAATATTAGCCTCATGTCCCCCCTTCGCCTCAGCATGCGCGAGCGCTTCCTCATATGCTTCACCCCACGTGTCTTCTGCTGATAATAACCATTCCATTCGCCACATCCGGACCTGAATCTCAATGTTATCCAGCGTTTGAGGGTTGCAGGTGCAGGGCAGATCGTTTTCCATCGTGAGCACTGAATCATCGTTGGCGTCCCAACTGTCATCGCGGGCGTCCCAACTGTCATTGCGGGACAGTTCTTCACACGCTGACTGTGGGTCTTCGCAGCCATCATCAAGTAGCGATGATGTGACAGGTGCCTTTTGCTCTTCAGCGAGTTTTTTATTCTTCCTGTGGATCTATTGAGTGACTGACACCCGAGGTACATAAACGAGTCCTACCTTGCCCTATTGCTAAAAAAAACACGTGAGCATGCACAATAGAATTGCATGAGGGACGAACTCACAGAGCTACTCGAGCACGAGCTTTGGCGTTTTGGGCTTCTCGAACTCTGCGCAGCGTTGTGAGCAGATTTTTCAGCGACTCAAACAGATTGACCTACCCTGGCTTGGAAAGCCAACGTTGTGTAGCCACATGCTGCCTGGATGATGAGCTACGAGATCTCCTCCGAGTCGAATGTCCCTTTGAATACATAAGTTAGACAGGAAGATTCAATGAGAAGAATCGTGCTTACCATAGTTCGGCGGGAAAGAGTAAGAGACAACCTACCATCAGATATCGACAGCTGGCGATGATCGAGATATGTTCTGGCATCAAAATTCATTGACGGGCAAATATTTATCAAGGTACATGCCAATCTGATTAATGAGCCGGGTCAATGTAGCTAGGAAACAAAGAACTCGTACATTTGAATATGTTTGCCGAGGCTACCAGAGACAGACCAAAGAGCACGGCAGGAGTTCACTGTGATAGACTTGTATCTGTAGAAATGTCACAAGCCAGGTCAATGAGATGCGAACGTTCCGCATACCTTTTGATATATTCATCTAGACAAACACTATTCTCCCCTGCGACCCCCATTGCAGAGTCCAAATGCCAACCGCTATCCTGTTCACACTAATCGACTTAATGTCTAGAGGGCTGAGGGAAGACCGCTTGAAGCAGGCCACACGCAGTGGCTCAAACTTGGACCAACAACTCAGATTAGTAAGCACACCTCTGACGGTTGGAAACCGTCAGAGGTAGAATGTGCTTACTAATCTCAGTTGTTGGTCCAAGTTTGAGCCACTGCGTGTGGCCTGCTTCAAGCGGTCTTCCCTCAGCCCTCTAGACATTAAGTCGATTAGTGTGAACAGGATAGCGGTTGGCATTTGGACTCTGCAATGGGGGTCGCAGGGGAGAATAGTGTTTGTCTAGATGAATATATCAAAAGGTATGCGGAACGTTCGCATCTCATTGACCTGGCTTGTGACATTTCTACAGATACAAGTCTATCACAGTGAACTCCTGCCGTGCTCTTTGGTCTGTCTCTGGTAGCCTCGGCAAACATATTCAAATGTACGAGTTCTTTGTTTCCTAGCTACATTGACCCGGCTCATTAATCAGATTGGCATGTACCTTGATAAATATTTTGCCGATCCCACTGCTCCTCACTCATCAAACCAACTTCTACATTGTCAACCTCGCTCATCAAACTGGCATTAACATCGATAAATCAATTACCTCCCTCCTTCATTGTACCAGTATTAACATAGATGAATCTGTTGCGTCCCTCCCTCATACTACCGTTAATATTGAAGGTATGTCTCGATCAGCATTCGTGCCTTCACTAATATGTACTTGCCGAGTTCAAGATCTTACACCGATCTATGCGAAATTTTTTTTGACAAAATGGCGTGAAATGGCAGGACGCGTGCGATGCGGTGTGTATTGTTTCATCTGTACCATCCGCCAAAATTTGAAGTTGTATCTGTGCCCACGTATTTTCTACCTACAGCCCCCAGTATGAGTGGCCTCTATGGAGTCGACGATTTCGATGCCAATGGCAATTTTCATTCAATCAACAGGATCAACTGGGACGACCCATCCCTATACACGATGCAGCTTACTAGGGACGAAATCGAAGCTCTTACCCACGACATACCAGCCACGAACATTCAAACAGATATCCCAACCCTTCCAGAGCTCCCCCCTGCTCGCACACCGTCACCTCAACCTTTTGGAACTTCAAGTCATGATGATGGCTCATGGAGTCCTACCGAAAGAGAGGTGCCGGACACGAGTGGAGAGATGCCGAAGTCACTCCGTGAGGCAAACATGTCCTCCTGGGCAGCGCGGAACCCAACACGAGCAATTATCCGCCCTCGGACGCCACCACCTCGACTAACAGATGCACAAAAGGCATCTCGAAAGATTAAGAGGGATCAGAAGATTGAGAGAACGAAACGCTTACATGATGCAGTTGCTGGATATCTGGACGCACAGAAGACACAGATTGAAGCACTCGCACTCGCTCATCACGTTACTCCGAAGCAAATCAATGACATCATCAGCAATCACACGCATTATCGCACCTCACGCAAGAGTCAATTGATCCACGCACTTATTCATGCCAAGGCAAAAGAGATGAATGCGGGTAAGTCGAATATTTTTTAACTCAATGGAGTCACGAAACTTATCTTGTCTCAACTAGATCGACCCACAGGCTCTCGATACTCAATGGCCGAACTCCGCGAGATGGTCATCACTGACCCCGAAACAAAAGACCTGACGAGGGAACAGAAGGAAGCTTACATTGCAGCGCTTGAGGAGCATCGTGAAAGAAAAGGTGTCAGTGTTTGGGCAAACAATCAGGCAGCTGCGCGAGATGTTGTAGCCACGACGGATAGGATCGTCAAAGAGGTAAGTTTGAATCTTAACAGGAATCAACTGAATTCATCTTTTTTCTTTGCAGCTAGATGATCTGCGAGTTCGGACCGGAGTCTATGGAACACTATTTGTCGTCCGCGGTCACATCAACGACACCATTCAAAGCACGATGCACGGCACGGATAATTCTGAAGATTTTTGGGAGGATGTGTATGAGCACCCCATGGCTGACTTTCTCAGGCAATACGAACAATGGGCATGCACGCAGGATCAAAGTAAGTCCTTCTGATTCACATTATCTTTGTATCTTTGTTCACTGTGCTACAGATCTCAATGAACGTGACTCTTTGGAGGCCGTACGGAAGCAGGTACGGAAAATGATCCTCCGCGGGCTGGGTGAGTAATGACATTGCTTGCACTCGCTGTTTCAATCTAACATCATTTACAGTCTCAGTAACCGGCAAAAAAGATATCATGATGAACTACAGCAACTACGAAACAGCCATCGTCGAAACCTATGGGGTACGCCTTGTAGGATGGCCCCAGGGTGTTAACTTCACCAGCCCTTCAAATATCGGCACCGTGGGTGACATTCGTAGACTTCGGGACGCACTCAAGGCTTGAATGTGCTACTGGACCACTCTATCGCCTGCGGAAGTCAAGGCTCACACAGCTGAACTTGATGCGCGCCGGTCAGCTGGGGAGGTGGTTCGCACGCTGCGAAAGAAGCGTTCGGATGCTGGAGTAGCTCGGAAGCGCAAGGTTCCGCCCACAACAAACAAGGAGAATGCAAGGTCATCGAAGAGAACAAAGGTGACCTCCACTCAGCTTCGGGACGCCCCCAAAAGTGCTGAATTCGTAGAGTCGTCTAACGAGGATGAATAGTAGTATTACATAGCCTTACTCTAGTTTACGTATTTTAATGTTCACTTGCGCAAAATGCGCCATCAATCCATCCACGTCATCGCGAGATACTCGAGCTCATCGTGTCGCACAGCGAACTCGAAAGTCCGGCACCTTAAGCGACGTCAGGAACACGTCGCGGCGTTTACCGATATGCCGGCGGCACTTAGCTCTTAATCCTACAGCGCTATATAAAGTCCCTCGCTATTCAAGAGATATCAGAGGAGGCTCTGATCGCTTATATCCGCCTTGTCTTACAGGTGCGAATCCCATCTATTATCAACTATAATTACGGTCGTTAAGTGGGAGTCACAGGTGACACAGGCTGGTTTCAATGGCAAGATTGGCCATCACTGACAAAGTTCCCACACATGACACTGCCATAGTAGGTTGCTAAGTGTGTTGTCATACTCACATATTCTTACATGGAGTGCTTCCAATGTCAGAATCCACCAACAACAACAGTATGTTACTCAGTTGTCTCAGAATAGCATGCTGTTGATGTTCTTTCAAACATATCTAACCTTACATAATTATGTTGGGGTGGCAGAATCCATAATCATTCAGTTTATATAGTGCATTTTCAATGATAGCAATAGAACTTTATCAATTGTATTAGGGTTTATAGCTCATATAAACAGTATCTATATCAAAAATAATTAAGTAGTGCTAGAGGAGCCTAGTTCTCCAAGAGCAGTGTTTCTTATAATGAACTTACCAATTCCCCCACATGAATGACATCCTCCTCCTCGCCATTTGTTAGCAGGGTATGAATCAATGAGCTCCATGAACACCCTGTGTTCCCATCAAACACTAATAATGAAAATGTTGTAAGGCATTGTGTGAATTTTAATATCACAGCAGCACTCACTCTGCAGGATAATCCTCAATGCTTCTGAAAAAATTAGGGTTTCTATAGTGCACTTTATATCATATATAGCTGTCTTAGCCTCATAACAACCCCCCCTTTATGGTCACTGTATAGCAACCTCCTACATTTACATAGCTGCCATAGTAATGTAAGGATTCACTATAGCAATATAATGTTATTACCAATAACTACATTGCACTATGTAATTCACACTTACATAGCCACCTTTGTCATGTCAGAATTCACCTATAGTAATATAATGATATCTCCAACATCTACAATTCTCAATGGATCAGCATCTTGTGACTATTGAAAATTATAATGCTGTCACTCAATGCTATGAAACTCCTATATATTTGTTACTAGCTGATATGACAATAGTTTGTAAATTTCCCTTGATGCAATGTATGTACAATGATATACTCTTGCCACTATAGAAGTACTATCAAAGCTACCAAGGTCTCATACAGACTCATACATGTTTGTCACAACCCACTGTGATGTGAATACATAATATCTTATGCAAGTATATGCAAGTAGCACATTTACCTGTCCACTGACAAATCCCAGGTAGGGACCAGATCCATGGAAAAGCCCAATTGTCCAAACAGCTCATGAGCCAATGCCTCTGAACCATATATAGACACATCTGACCACCAAGGGAAGGTGGGCCCCTACACAGGCAGACCAGAACATTGTAATCAAACATCCAGAGCGATGTACTGGTGCTGCAAGAAAGGTGATGCCCTACATAAAGACCTGAGGACCATTGATACGTAGCTCATTAGCCTGGTAGGCCTGTGTTATGAGCCGTATTCCATCACCTGCCGACACTAGTTCCTGGGGCTGCAGAAGCACTTGGGACATTGGTGGTCTGAGCATAAGGGTTGGAACCTGCTCTGCATGGGGGTTCCGGATCTGCTTCTTCTTCTGCTCTGCAGGTGGGGCCCTCAAGTTTGGGACAGTGCGGATCCTGTCTGTTAAGGAGCGCAATGAAGAGGAAGGCGGACCCATGCTGAAATCATCCATGATGCGTTCACTCAGCATTGGTCGCTGCGCTTCTCTGTCTTCCGGGCAGAACCTCTTATTCTCTCCAGTGCGCCCTGAAGATTCAAGTTGCGAGGACAACTTTCGCTTCAAAAAAGGATGATCGCTGGGGAACGCCAAGTGTTCCTGGCGACGAGGGGAAGGAGGGCGTACAGATGCCAAGGAAGACCGATGAGAGGTGGAATCCATTGGCGGACGCATGGAGGACAAAGAGGGACCATGCAAAGAATCATGGGCAGGTCTACGACCGTACTTTGATTCGCCCTGAACGTAGCGAGAGCGGTAACCCTCCTCCTGGTAGGGGTGGTTCGTCCTGCGCTCATAAGCCGGTAGCTGTCACCGGAGTAAGATCTTTCATCACGAGACAAGCCAGCATCTCGGCGAGTCCCCTCTTGAAATGGACGACCCAGCGGTTGATAAGCGCATTGCTGGCTCCTCCCTGCCTCAACCGCAACTGGTGTTTCCTTTAACAAATGTTAGTGAAAGTCAACAATAAAGTTATTCTTGAACGTACCGTCAATCCACCTGTTGGCTTGGAGAGAACTCCCCTCGAAACAGGGGGAGATGAGGATCGTGGCATGGCCTGGGGTGAGGAAAGCCTTGGTGATTTTTGCTTTGGAGAATGTGAGTGAAAGTCTAACAATAAGGTTATGAAATGTACCTTAGGTCTATTCATTGATGCTGGAAGAACCACCCTCGCGTCCGGGGGAGATGAAGGATGTGAAACGGCCCGGGGCGAAGGAAGCATTGACGAGAAGTTATCATCTTGTGGTATCCAAGGGGCCATAGGAGAGTCGGGTGTGAAGAGAGCTTCTCCTTTCTCTGATGAAACAGGAGATTCAGCACCATTATCTGGTACTGGCTTAGGAGTAATGGGGACCTCGATGGCCTTGGCGATTGGGGCTGTTACTGTAACTAGCGCCGGCTCATCATTGACTTGGCCCGCAGTCGTAACACCTTGTGTCACTGCTGCCAGGGAAGTCTCAGGCTCTGCAATCATAACACCTTGCGCTACTACTGCTGGAGCGGCCTCGGTGTCCAGGCATGTCCAGGGCTCCTCTCTCGGTAGGGCTGCCAAAGTTTTGGCCTCATGGGCAGCCAAGTCCTTCGCCGACACGATTACTCCTGCGGGCGCTGCGTCATCCTCGTCATCTGCGTCATTCTCGTAGGCATAGAAAATGTCCCCTTCAGGTAGCTGCTTATGCACCCCGACACACCATTCCGTCAACCTCTTGTACTCATTTTTCGAGATGCGACGGCCTTTGTCCTCTTCTCCTTTCTTCTGAACTGCAATATACTTCGCACGCTTCTTCTGCAAAGGGCCAGCTGGGCGCTTGGGGGAGGTTCTGGACTTGCGCACGATAGGGGTTAATGTCCAGCCCGACGTATCTTGAGCACCCCAATCCCTGCCCAATGTGAATGGAGCTGACAGCCATCTTCCTTCTGGGAACCGTTCATGCGCTTCCAAGTCGACGGGGATGCAGGCTCGATATGGGCGAGAGCTGTCCCAGTAGTCGGAGGAGATTGACCAGTCATGGCCCTCAAGGATTCTGCTGGAGAGCATATTGCCCGTTCGACTGTCGGGCCGTGGAGGAGCAGGTCCTGCTCTCGGTTCACTGTCGTGAATAGTGACCCAGGTGTGTTCCTGTCTGTCCATCTTCCTACTAATGACCCTCCACCATACTGAAAGTTCAGTCACTATTCGTTGAAGTGGGGAGGGCTGTTCTGAATGCGCATTGGACATAATGAAAAATGCAAGAGGGATATATATTGTGTGCAAGACCCGGGAACATCGTCGTTCCAAGGCTTGGATGAGAGTTTGATGATGCCAAGAGCTCCAGGAATGTCATCGTTCCAAGAACCTATTCACTCGAAAGTTTGAACAGTCTAAGGCTCGAAAGAGTGTTGTAGCTGATGGCTACAGAAATTCCGGGAATGTCATTGTTCCAAGAACTTACAGATCGATGATAGGAAGTGAGAGGAAAGAGACAAGAAGTAGAAATCAGAGTTAAATATCTCCTTGCTCGGCAATGACCAACAAGAACAATAACATGTGGACTCAAGTAATAACCACAGTTTAACTTGAAGCATTCAGCTGTGAACAGAGAAAAATCCGGGAATGTCGTCGTTCTAAGATTTGGTGTGGACAAAAAGACATTACATACTGCAATCTACATATTCGTTTCAACATCCAAATCAGGATTATTGACACCCCATAAGCGAGCGCCAATGATGCAATGATTGCTGATGACTCATCATGATCCTTATTAGACCAAAGTTACAACTAATACATATAGCGTAGACTAGTCAGCCTTAGCAAAGACGAAAATCATTGATTGAATAAGTCACTGTTTGCTTATCCAGCGGAATTCAGCGCTCCTGCTTATTTGCGCTGATTTCAAACATTTAAGTACATAAAGCACATCTGAGATTTTGCTGATGGTCAACCAGTCATCGATGATCTCCGCAACCAACTGCTTCTTCTCGCTAATACACTGCATGATGAAACCCATGTCCTTAGGACCAGCAACAGTGTCACCAATGAGGCTGATACTGAATCCATTGTGGAATAGCTAGAAATTCACGACCATCTGGATGCCGGTGAAGAGGTCATGAACACAAGGACACAATTAAGATACGAAGGCCTAGTAAAAATGTATTCTACTCCATCATATCAGCCTCAAGGTCAAATTCACCAAGGTAGTCATGACTTTCTTCCACCTCTTCAAAATCTCCCATGCTATCACTGTAGAAATTCATTTAGCATGCTCAATGTTAATTTGCCTGGTGACCTACTAGGCTATTTGAAATATTTCTTGTTGAAGCTTCAAAATGAGCTGGGGGTGCTTCTGTTCTTGTCTCTGAAGGGTACAGAGATGGCTGTCATATGAACTTCAGTATGAGTCTCCGGAGAACTCATTGACACCACACCCTATCTCCTTGAAGCCCTTGATATAGTCCCTCAGCCCACACTCGATCTGAGAGCTCATATCAGAGCAATAATAATAGTAAAATAAAACATGCCTACAGCAGTAGCAATGAGCGCTAAGGTTGGGAGTGGCACTGGATTGAAGGCAGCTGCATACTCATGGGTAGCCTCACCTCTTTTTCTCAGCCACTGAGCTCCGAATATCTCAGTAAAAATCGGGTGTCAAAAGAAACCCTCACGCTAAGAAGTGGTTAGTATTAAAATTCAGTCTTACGGTGGAGATAGACTCACCTTGTCCAGATTCCTGAAGACATAGGCATGTTCATGCAGGAGTGCTGCGATTTTAGCTTCGAGTTTGGACTTCAGCAGCCTGTGCAGCCCATAATGACCAATGACAGCGCTTTGAACCTTGCTTTTGAGCTCGCTGCAAATCTGGGAGGGTCGAGCAGCTACCTATGACACGTCAATATTGAGGAAAGAAGTAGAAACATACACTCACTATTTTCGCTTGGACAGTTGCATATGCTGCATCCCTTTCAAATCGTCTAAGAATTTCAGCTCATTTGAGATCCTTGCAGGCACGCTTAAAACTGGCACGGGAATGAGCAGTGATCTCATCCTCAGTTGGGAATCCATTATCGGTAGCAACGTAAACACAAAAGATAATGTTAGCTGTCTTTACAACAGCTCTGGAGGTAGGGGTCTAATCTGACATTCGAGGTTTCACGCTGTATTGATGCGATGAGCGGGGTGGGGTACTTGGAATGGGTGTTGTCCCAGGTAATATGCGTGGAAGTGTAGGTGCAGGTGCAGGTGCAGGGTGTGCGTGCGATGTTGACAGACGTGCCCGGGGCAGTTTAGAATTTAAAACAACAGGTGAGGATGCCTCAAACTATGAATATGAGCACACCTGAGATCATCGACGAGAATGCCAGTACTGACTGCTGGTCTACCAAGTTTTGATTTGAGCCTTTTGGCACTGTAATGAGCTTTGACACCATCAAGTTCAGCTTGAAGTTTGTCCTCCAAGGAGATCATTTGCTCCTGCTCCTGCTCCTGCTCCCGGTCTTGCTCCCGGTCTTGCTCTTGCTCTTGCTCCTTGTCACCTGCTGAACGTCAGTTTGAGTTGTGTTAGTGATCATGCAAACCATACGTCCATACCGCTTTCGAGTGTTACTATGGCATACTACAGGTTCTATATCCTCATCTTTATCGTCCACATTTGGATCATCCAAAATCTCATCCAGCTCCTCTCAACTGATGGCAGATTTCCGAGCTTGACTGGATTGCCATTCCATTTCTTGACGAGTGGCCTCTGCGTCTTCCTCTCGCACAAGTGCATGTTTTTCTACCAAATTTCAGGAATCTGTAGACATTTATACATAATGACTAGTACGTACACTTTTTATTCGTGTTTTTGATGGCAGACCTTGCTTGCGAAGCATGTGCTTGAAGAGTAGTTAGACTTGTTGAAGAGTGATATCACGTCGCTGGAGCCATGTTAGCAGGCCAATGTGGCCTGCGTTCGATATTTAAGTGGGGTTCAGTGGCAATTACATTTACCCAAATCATCATCCTGTGCAAAGCTCCATCATGAAGTAGTTGGTGGAGTAGCCTACATAGAGTGCCATCTCCCCACTGAAAGTGAAAGTTCTGGCTCAAAAGCCAAACTGGCCTCTGTGTCAGTGTTCCTGGCCACCCAACCTGTCCAAGTCGCAGGGCGTGAAGTACACAAAACTTTCCCTAGGAGTTTGCCTGATGTTCCATATCCAATCAACGATGGGACAGAACAGAAAATATGGTATTTGAAGCTCGTGCAAGCGCAAACTCAATGCAACGTCTAAGAGTGAGGATATCTCTATCTAGAAGCATGCTCAAAGAAAAACCAACGGCAGTGGGTGAGGACATGTTCTTCCAGTCGGGCCATGGAGCTGGGAAGTGGCTTGAGAAGGATCTGCAGTCGGAAACAGCCTAGCTGTCACAGCTTAATGTTATGTTTCTGAAATACTGTTGACTGGAACAAAGCCTGGCTTCACTCGAGTTGGCTACTAGTAGAACTTGAGGACACAGGGTGGTGGGCTATAAAAGAGTTTTCGTCCATGAAGAAACAGCCAGCAGTCCTCTCTAGAAGGAGGAACTGTGGTTTAAGATGAACAAAACCAAGAGCGGTGCCAGGTCCAGATTGCATAATGAATGTCATTGCGTTTGTACTGTCCACACCAGAAGGTATTTTGAGCAGAACCCACTTTGATGACTTCAAATGAGCAGGATTCAAAATTTTCAAGTAGGAAGTTGAACCGAATGATTCTCTGAGCAAGCGCTACTGCCTCAAATGATTTGAATTGTCACCTAGATGGCTATTGAAAGACACTGAAGGACCTCACGTGCAAAGCCTGGCTTCTTGCCCAAGAATAGGTGAGTTAACGGTAAGTCCAACTATACAGGCAATTCAAGTAAAGCCCTGCTTCACTGGAGTTTGTGTGCAGTTAGCCAGGAGACTGAAATGGCGATACCAGTTAAATTTATGTATATGGTTGGTTTAATTAGCAGATTAGGTCGGTTAGAGGCAAGACTTCAATACTTGTCGCAAGCTCTTGCAAATATGTGTCAGTGTGTGTCGACAATAGAGATCTTCCGCAGTCCTGCTGGATGTTATGTATTCTCGACAGCAATGTCGCATTTAGGGAGTTCGGATTGTCTAAATGAGCACGAATGTTTGACTACCCAGTGCACTGGAGAAGTTCCGCGAGGTTGAAAACTGAGCTGGCTGTCCCAGAGTTCCAAGATACAGGTAATTCGGGTGACACCTGGCATCACCCGAGTTCTCACGTGTAGTCAAAATACTGGCAGAGATGTTAGGTGGCCCGACTTGCGTGTATGATATTGTGATCTTGTCCTTGGTTTTGACTGGTAATGACACATGTAATTTTGAGGCTGTACTGTTGTATGATTACTCAGATGTTTATGGCGTGGAGTGTTCCTGCAGTCGAGCTCTAGGACAATGGGTTCCGAGAGTGAGAAGCAGCCGACGAGTTCCACCGAGACCGGAGACAGCCTAGCTGTCACTTGTCTAGACGGTACAGACAACTCGAGCGAAGCCTAACTTCCCTTGAGTTTGCATTGGTACTGAAGAGCAAGTAGGGATTAAGGCATCAAATTTCCCTTCTTGCTGCTGCAGCGTTGGGGAGAGGGTCCAAGCCACATCCATAGCCTTACCTGTGGATGATGATCATTGCATTTTGAAGGGCATGCAGTAGTAATAGATAGAAGGTTACGTCTGAACTTGAAGATGTTACGTCTTCGAAGATATCATCAAAAATACACAGGTGACTCGAGTAAAGCCTAGCTTCACTTGTGTTCATGTTCCTGGTATTGGATTGCATAAAATTTGAGGGTGTCGGTTTAGCCTGGCAGAGGGTCCAAGCTTGCATGACATACCATTGAGTTGCTGTAGGGGCTGCTGGGATCATTAAGATGGAAGTGCCCATCTGGATGGCGAAGCCATGTTTTGATGATGATATCTAATCTATCCATCCATCTGTGCGGTACCGTTGACAGTACTGGCTCATCTACCGGCCGATCGTTGTTGTGCTGCCATTCCTCAAGGGTCAGCAACACCTTGTGTGTCTTCGCCTAGATCCCTGCGCCCGACGTAACCTCAGGCGGACTGTATGACCTAACTTCACGGATGATGATTAGAATCATCATGACAGGATCCTTGCACTTCTCCATATATCTTGCCATCTTTTCCATAATCTTTTCAAAATGCTGCGACACCGCCACCTCCATCAACCAAAGAATCACATCCCGGCTCGAACCTTGTAGCTCGAGCAACGAGTCCGGAACTCCTAGTATCTTTTGAGTGTCATCGGGGTCCTTGATAGTATTTGACCCAAGTAAGGGCAATGTGAGGTCCCACTCTTCTATGATGGGCATGGAGTCAATTATGCTCTGTAGGGACAGGCAAATATGTTCAAGAACACTGTCATGAGTTTTGGAAGGCAGGTTGGCGACGAGGGGGTGAGTAAGAGGGAATGATAATGATCACTGCCGGTTTTGATTCACTTGTGCGAACTTCTCACCTGGTCTAGGGTTCGAGGGGCGTGACCCCCATTATGAATTGATGCCGTAATCTTGGTTCCCAAAAAAGTTCTAAATCAGCTGATGCAATAGGTGTATTCAAAGTGGAGTCATATGGAGATGTGGAGCTTATGTATCTGACTAGAGGTGACTCCATATATTTTACAATTGAAGCTACCAGATCTGTGGTTCAATATCTCCTTGGCAAAGATTCTCGTGTTTTCCATTCACATAAGCACTTGATTTAACAAAAACTGAAGCAGTTTCTGTGTTAAGAGAAAAGAAGTCTGCCCTGATTTGGCCCCCATTATTTGGCATATCAGTTCAACTGTCATGGTATGGCAATAATTCTAATAGAAGTATGAAATGAAGGCCTCCTGGAATATTATACCGTCAAAATGAAATACTGATGAGTCATACGGTGCATGAATACCCTCCTTGTCCCCAATCCATGCCTTGACATTGTTTATGGCGCCGAAAGACTTTATCTCCAACGTGATGGTCTTACCTGTAATAATGGGAGAGAGTACAACCGTCTTCAAGCTGTGTACCGGCAAAGATGAGGCTGCCTCATCATCCAACGTAATTTAGGGGGACACAAAAACCAAGAAATAGAGAGTTTGACTATCAGCTGCTTGCCAGCAAACATAGGACACTGCCAGTCACTGGCACAATAATATGACGCTGTAGCCTGAGGCTAATAGTAATTGGAATGAATTCACATTTTGGCTACCCAACATAGTGCAAGTCGTTGGATTTGTACTCACTCCACCAAATACACAAAGCCTGGCTTCTTGCACGGGGTGGAAGACTAGGAGTTGACTCAGGTAGATTCTACTCAAGGGTGATAAGAAATCCAATGAACTTCAAAATCAAAATGTTAATAATCTAAGTCAGCTTTGAAATGTCGAGCCAGCGATTGAAGTATGTCGACCAGTGGGGCTGGAACTGTTAATGTCCCCGAATAAATAGAATTTGTGTTTGTACAATAGAGCTGGAATGAATTGAGAGTGAGGTGCACATTTGCTGCCAGTACAGTCACAGCTACTGAGTTCGTACTTGCTTGAGCCAATGCAAAAAGCCTGGCTTCTGGCATGTGATGCCAGTGGAAGACTTGGAGTTGACTCACTGAGTAAAGCCTAGCTTCACTGGTATCACTTCAATGTCTTTTCTTGCTTGCGAGTTCAAGCAACTCACTTCCGGTGACATTGATTTCGATTCCTCTGCCACTGACCGATACTGTTGACGTCAAAAGGCAAGATTTCAATTTTTCCACCACTTGCCGATACTGTCGACGTCAAAAGGCAAGATCCTGGAAAAATAAGGAATGTGCACAATCATGTGATCCTTTGACTAAGTGGAGAATCCCTTGCCATAATTCAACTGTCCTTCTCTGGAGGTCAAAACTGTACTCCAAGCAGCAAATGAACCTTTATTTTACTTCATCGTTACCAGTCATGTCAGTTGGTCAAGCAAGGTTTTTGCTGACACAGATGACACTTCCTGAGTAAGATTATCTAATGAATTTATGGCCATCTATGCTCACATAAGCCCCAGTAAGTTAGGAACTTTTAAGGTGCGGGCTGCATCCTATCACTAGTACTCTCGATTGCTAGGTTAATTTACTTGAGTCAACTTCAAGTCTCCCACTCCGTGCAAGAAGCCAGGCTTTTCACATTTGGTCGAGTGAGTACAAATTCTGAGTGACTCGTGTGCTGGGTAATAACAATATTGTACGCACTTCACTCTCAACTCTATCATATTACACATATGGTGTACTAGGGATCATTGAATTGATCATCGATCATCTTTCAAAGAGGTCAGTGGTTCCAGCCCTCCTTTCCTTTCGCCGAACATTTCAAAAGCTGGCTCAGCATGTTCAAAGCTAACTCAGAATATTAACGTTTTGATGTTGAAGTGCTTCAAAGTTTCTCAAATATCCTATCACTCCAGAGTGAAGCTAGGCTTTACTTAGGTCAACTCCTAGCCTCCCACCCCATGCGAGAAGCCAGGCTTTGCGCATTTCGTCGAGCGAGCCCAAATTTGTTGCTTTTACTATACTGGGTATTGTGATGTGAGCCTCCGGGTTGCTCTCAGCTCATTCTGTCTCTTTATCGTACAGGCCCAAATACTATTGAATACTAGTATTTGTTCAAAGAAGTCATCGGTTACTGGTCGTCCCCCACCACTCACTCTGAGTTCTTGCCTTCAATACAGTTCCCTTTCACCGAATAACTCAATAGGAGTCAGGAACGCCAGGCTTTCCTCGATTCCTTAAACAAATACACAAATCACTTCGAAACTGATGCTTCTACCAGCACTGACTCTTTGCGCCTCAAACAATCACAGCTTGAGATAATCATCACATGACTAGCTCTATTAGAGGAGCAGAGAGTTATTAGAACACCTTCGTGGATTTGGGTCAAGCTATTCGTACAGGGCCAATGATTCAATTGCAATCGTGAGTAGACCACCCGACAATTCCTCTGGGCCAGGGCCTTGCGGGAATGTTATCTGTTCAATAATCAGAAATCGTTTTTCGTTTTGCAGTCTAATTCCCACCCGGTGGACCACTCAAAATGTAATGCTTTGAAATTACTGAGACATTCTCTCCGAAATAGCTACCTACATCCTGGGGACCTGTTGCTCTAGTCCCGCTGACAAAAGCTACAATTGCATTTGCATTTGTTCGGGTAGTGACCGACTTTACGATCACTTTCTCATTTCTACGTCATCAATAATCAGGGGGATGGTGATTGTGGAGGGACCTTCCTCGGAACCGTGTTTTCGTGGCGATCACCTCATCGCCCGCTAATGGGACCAACCGTAATCCTGGCAATGTGTATAATCTTACATCACTCTTCGGATCTACAAAGTGGAGCTGATCTTGTACTGGACTTGCGTCATTACTACGTGATATAATGGTATAGAAGGAAACGTCTCATGGGGGATCAATACCGTTTCATGATGATGTCTGGGTCGCTCTCTCCTACAAACTCCCTGGACCGGGAAATACTGTCTTGCCGAAGCCTCAATGATGCCATTGAAGCCATTTCCAACCCAGCACGATGCAGTCAAGTACAAACTACTGCATATTTGCTCGGGGCCAGACAAGAACTCCCCGAGTTCTTTGATGAGGATGTTGCAGATGCTCATGCCGATATTTGTGGTTCAACATGTAAGCTTCCTAGTTCATGCTCAATTGTTCAATGCATACTGATGTATATCGATGATCAGACATTGTCCGTATTCCCCAGCATACAACTGATCCTGACATTGCAACCGTGTATGTTGATGTGGGGTTTGCCGAAAATACCCTTCCCTCCGACGTGTTTGACTGCATCCATGCTTACATGGATATCTCACCAGAGGACAGTGAACTTGGTTGGCAACTGTCGACTGACCGCCGTTCAGATCCACCAGCTCATTTGAAGACATCTTTTGACCTCAAAAATGCATTCCAATCAGCAAGAGCAAAGCGCTACTCAGGTAGGAAGGAGAAGCACGTGAAAATAGAGATATTAAACCTTGTGAGTTGTTTCACATCGAGGCGGGGTAAATTAATTCTGACCTGATCTTGTCTAGAAATCTATTTCAAAGATTGTCAGCGCCAAGCAAGGTGGCAAAAACAGCCATCTTTCCAATGTTTCAGCTCAACCAATCACCTCTCCAAGTCCAACCGTTCACAACTACATCCATCTCAGGGGCAAGGCAGCTGATCAGAATCAATTGCTGCATGCTGGAATCAAATGTCTGCATGACATATACCTCAAGATGGACAATGAGTCAGATGATGAGCCGCAACTCCCCATTTGCAACGTCCTTGATATTATTGATCCTCTCTTTCCTGCGATGGACTTCCATTGGTATCTAGGCGCTTTGCACCGCCAAGGCATCGCGTATCTAGCTAGTGCAGTCAATTTTGACTGCAATTTTTACGTCAGTGATGTCGGAATGTCGAGGGGGGCTGCATCACTATTCTGTGGACAGGTCAACAAGATGAGGATGAAGAATGATCGGGCTGTGGCGAGGCAAAAAGCAAAGGGTAAAAAGTGTGCTCGTATTTCTTACCACGACCGAGACGAAGAGTTCCTTTTAAGAGAGGCTGATTTCGAATATACAAAACACTTGCCTTCCAACGTTACGAGCACTTAGATATTTGGCCCCACGAGTTCATGTATTGACCCTAGCACATGTAATTCTGTACTAAATCTAAAATACTATTTTATGACGCTGTCACATGTTTTTTCAAGGTTTAAGCTTCCCAGTGAAAACCCACTATGGTGTGGTATGATGGGTTCTGATTATTTTATGTTTGTATGATGAGATAAGGCAGATAATGAAAAACACATTTGATCGTCTTGGCTTGAACATTCTTGTAACCTTGTATTGCATTGCTCGTAACTTGGCATTTTTCTTGTTTTTGTCTCACTTTGCTTGCACGCCTTCATATTGCACTTTGAAATTGTGGGTGGCTATGACTTCATAGTGTCTCTTCATACCACCATCATGTCAGTACCATCCCCACCCTCACCAGGGTCTTTCTTGTCTTCGTCTCTTTCATTAGATGAGTCATTCAAATGATTTCTTGCAGCATTCAAAGGATTACCTGCAACATAGGAATGTAAGTATCATATTTTGTGCTTAATAGGCTCAGAATATCTTGATAGGGTGGATATATGCGCACGCCAAGTGTCAGCACTCCCTCCGAAACTCAAATTCAGCAACTTCAGGAACGGCTCGCAGCATATGAATCGCAACACATCAAGTTCGAAGATGAGGATGACATGGACATCAAGCCCAATGTTGAGAAGTCGAAGGGTAAAAAATGCGAATGCAGTATGGATGACACTGGTGATTCGGAACTCTCTGTTCTTGTCCTTTGACCTGCTTACCCGATGCTGATGGTGCCCTCGCCGCATCCCGCTTTCAGGAAGTGCGTGTCCTTGTCCTTTGACCTGCTTACCTGACCTTGATGGTGCTCTGGCTGCATCCTGCTCTCAGCAAGTGCATGATCTCGTCTTTTACATTGCGTACTCGACGCTGATGGTGCTCTGGCCACGTCTTGCTCTCAGTCTGTGCGTATTCTCATCTTTTGGCCTGCTTACCCCATGCTGATAGTGCTCTGGCCGCATCCCGCTCTCAGAAAGTGCGTGTTCTTGTCTTTTGGCCTGCTTACCCCACGCTGATGGTGCTCTGGCTGCGTCCTGCTCTCAGTAAGTGCGTGTTCTCATCTTTTACGTTACACACAGCGTACTCGATGCTGATGGTGCTCTGGCCGTGTCCCGCTCTCAGTCTGTGCATGTTCTCATCCTTTGACCTGTGTACTCAACGCTGATTGTGCTGCGGTCGTGTCCCACTTTCAGGAAGTGTGTGTCCTTGTCCTTTAGCCTGCTTACCCAATGCTGATAGTGCTCTGGCCATGACATGCTCTCAGATGGTGCGTGATCTCGTCTTCCGAGCTTCTTAGTGGATGCTGATAGTGCTATGGCCATCACTTTCTGGCTCTCTGCTTAGTGTTCCCCCATCTTTCGTGCTCTACCATCCATGTCACTCAGCACTGAGCTTCCACCATCTATCATCAATGGATTCATGCGCACATTGTTTCCTGGGCTCTTCACAGTGACCCGCAGGTATATCCGTCGGGGATAATACCCTGGTTTCATTGTGTTGATACCTGCAGGGAAACCCGTACCCGCACTGCGAGTACGGGTGCAGGTACGACTGCTGACACCTGTGGGTTTACCCATGCAGTTCCCTAAGCTGCTGCGCGCCCCGCACCTGCCTGTATGCTGCCACAATACCTAGTACTACTAATATCATAGCACATCATTTCTCGTCATATTAATTCATGGTTTCTACTGTACTGTCATGCAATATATGTGATTCCTACCGACATCATATGTTTGTCTCTGATTTTTTTGCATAGGTGAGAAAGAAACATATCACACCTGTTCTCATCATGCCACGCCATAGTGGGTTTTCACTGGGAGGCCTCAGGCTTTGAATTTGACTAATAATATTTGGCATGCCAACCTGGGAACACGTGATTACCGAACCGGCAGACTCAGTGTCCGGATCCCTCTAATAGTTGCCCTCTAGACTTTCTGGATGTTGAACAGCTTCAAAATACTCAATACAATTATTATAATTCAGTATGCAATCAGGCTGCAGCTGATGAATATTGAACACGGTAGAATATAAATTTTACCAGAGCTAAAATTAAGATGGACAGTACAAACACACATATGCTCAGGCGAAATGTCATAAATGAAGTTTTTGAGCAAGATTCGATATCATGTAAGAGGTAAGGTCAATGAAACTTGTGGAGATATTATATTATTGAAGCTATGAAGCAAATTGTGGATGTGTGCGAGATGTATTGTGTATCACGGTGTGTTGATCGATTACATAATATACATATACTTAGGTACATTGTCCAGTCCATTTGAAATGGTATGACCACAAGTGTCACCATCAAATAGATCTTGGAATTTTAACTCTGCAATTCTATCTTCTTCCTCTCCCTAGTACTCATTGGATCTTGGAACGACAATGTTCCAGGACCCATAGCTGCTATATTTGTGCAGCAGTTGCAATAATCTTCCCAGTATACGAATCTTGGAACGACAATGTTCCCGGCTTCTCATCTTTTATCTTCAGTACTACCATCTGAACCTTGGAACGACAATGTTCCCGGGTTTTATTTGCTAGGACATCCCCATGCTTAAGACGCGCATCGTACAACCTATATTCCTGTAACCTCTAATAATGACTTCCCCGCCCGTGGTTGGGTCTCGGACTGGGGCTTCAATGATCGTGCTGGTTGGGGTTTAACCTTGGATGCGTGCAAAGTAATTTTTCATATCCACAACAATTCCAGAAACATGATGCAAGCTGTCCTCTCCACTTACATGCTGAAGTACACCATCTCCCCCGATTTCTCACTAGGTTGGTTAGCCAATGGCTTCCCTACAGAGGTGGCATTAGCTGAAAAAGTTGTGGAGGCCCGACATTATGTATTGGATCAGTACCGCTTCATAGCCTTCAACATCAAAAGAGATCCCACATGGAGAACACACACGAGATTATCAACCTTTAAGGATATGATAGTCAACACCAGCCTCACGGAATGTGCATATCGAGGATGCATAGTAAACTTAAAGGAGGTCGAATTGTCCGAGATGATTATGCTCATCGAGGACAAAGTCCCATTGCATTATCAGTGGTTTCCTATGGATGTCAGCCCCTTCAACCCTCGATCGCTCAAGGCTAGTGATTACGACAATCATTCAGAGGAAATAACCTGGGAGAAACATTTCATCCTCGACTTGTCAAATGTTCTTACTTTCTATCGAGTCAGCAGCGGCGGGAACAAGGTCGCAATTTCTAGGAGAGAATTCAGACATTGGGCGTATTGGTGCCCGACAATGCGTCAGAAATTACCCTCAGGTGTTTCCTATTTGCTCTTCCAGGACGTGCAACACACCGATGACGGTCTCACAATTGATGTGGAGGACATACAACACTCCGACCCTGATCCTGACAGTCCCACAGTTATTGATGTAGACGCATTATCTGACTATTCTTCTGACGATGAATGGGAACCGATGGAGCTTGGAGCCCAGGAGATGTCGCTGTCAGGAGTGACACTAGGCGTTGCTACTACGGCGCTCTCTCAGAGTGAGTTGGACACTGCGGATACTTTCCTGTCAGATTTGAAAGGTGTTATTACTGCAACAATTCAACAAGAACCTCATGATTGAGCGCCACAATGTGAGTTCCCACAAGCCTCGGAAAACTGGCAACTCACCCCACACGAACAACCAACAAATGAGTCAGCGGCTTCCCTGGATGCTGTCATGTCCCCGCCATCTGCAATAGAGCAAACTAAATCACTCGAAACTACCTCACTAGACAAGATACACAGTGTTGTGACTTCTCCACCCACACCAGTGCCCCAAGTGTTGTCTCAACTGTAAGTTTAATGCCTTCGACGATCAATGATAACTCACTAATGAGGCTTACAGGGCAATAGAATTGAAATTCAGCAGGCCACCGGTCATGTTGCCTGGTATCAATTTCCCCACTATCATTGCGACCCAGTGTACGGGAAAATTAATCACCATGTTTGTCAATCCTCGAGCTGGCCCAGAGGATTCCATTCCAATCCTGCTCAGATCCGGAGCACCCTACTGTGTTCTCTCGCCATTGGGAACTGCTATAGCTCCCCACCTGCTCATTGATCAACCGCCCTACCTAGCCACTTGTCATGAGTATACAGGCTTAGATCTCTGGGACCCTGATTACTGGGTCAACTACAAAAAGAATGTCAAAGAATTGCTTGGCAGACCGTATGCTCGTCGCTTTTTGTCGCTCAGTGGAATCCTATGGCATTTAGCTGTTCAGTTCGGTCCAGCTGACCTCATTGAACATGCTATTGCAGGGCCCTCCTTGGATGCTACTAACTGGGCAAGCGGGGACATGTCGGATGGTTTGTGTGATGATATGGTAACACCAGCGGACAAAGGCATTCTTGTTGGCTGCAGTCTCAGAGGATCTGAAATGTGCTGGCCCCCCTATGATCTTTGGGATGCATCCACTGGGTGGACAGGGTGCTGGTCTGACGATAACGAGTCGTGGTTCCAATCACACCTCTCCAGTCTCTCAGATGGTAGACTCGACACTTCAAAAAGTTGCCAAGTTTGGAGAAAACTCTTTAAGCCAGCTCTGGGAGTCATGTCGCAAGATCCAGCCCATTGTGGGGCTGACCCATTCACTCCTGCTGTGTTCGGTAATTTGGGTCATTCTGTAGATCACAACCTTGTTGGGACCTGGCGCAATACGAATGAGGGGGAGAGACACTACATAATTGTATCACCATATTCATGTTAAATTTACGAAGCAATATCTGTAACAATATCTATCTCATGAAAGTTAATGTTCAGTTAGTAAGTTCTCGTCCTAAAGTAGTACATAATGTAGGAAAGTCAGAACACTAGATCATTGAGTCATCATCATTCTCGTACTGGATCATTGACATGACATCACCTCATATTACATAAACATACACTCATTAGGAACTCCGAGTCATCTACGTGGGAGCAGAGCACTGCATAAACACTTCACAGCGCCTTGAACTACGAGCTCATGTTCGATGTCTGACTCTTGTCTCATGCAGGGAGGGCTACTTGTTGGTTCCAGGAAACTTCCTTTTTGCAGTTATACTTGCTCACAAAGCCCCAGGCTTCCATGGCAGTCACTCAATCCACCTCCTCCACCTATCAAAAGGCATTCAGCACCCCCAAATGTCACAAGTTCAAGTGAGACTCAGTTAAATAACACGACTAGAGCTTCCTCATCAGTGGAAGCACTTTGGGCCAATTTTCAGACCCTGGAATGTGTCCCATCAGCATCATCCTCTGATCTGGGATCTGCCACTAAAGATGTGAATGGTGAGATTTCTGCCGCCTAGTCGCAATTGTATCCTATTGCTCAAGTTTTGCAACAGATCTATGTAAGCGCATCATCACTGCCCTGACTGATGATTGTCAGGAGAATTTAGATAGAGATATCGTAGGAGTTGAATGTTCCAGCTTGTTACCTCTGATTCACTCAGCTTGTCCCACAGAGGTTCTCTAACGTCTCTAAAGACCATTACATTCATATAATGAATGCTATGGCATCAGAAGATAAGCTTATTCGGAGGTTGGCTAGACTTTATGATACACCCAATCAGTTTTGCACTGATCATAACATTATTCCCTCAGACCAGCATATATCGCCGAAACCCAACGAATCATTGCTGCCAAGCTGCCAACTTGTACTCACAATACATTTGTATCATCAATACGCTCATCCATCCAACGCACTATTGCTTCACTGCCCATCGATGTGCAGTGGGGCCTTCATTTTCCCATCCATATGTCAACTTTTCTCGAGGGTTTAGGAATGCCCAACTTGTTTCTCGAATTGCAAGGTCTCAAGGGTGATAGGCCATTGTGGATTGCAGACATCGTCTCCTCACAGGAGGAGGAGGAAATGGTGTCCATAGCACAACATTACACGGAGTGTCAGGATGTCATCCTAGTCAGTATCATTGACATCCGCAAGTCCGCCCCTTACAAGTCACCTGAGTACTCACCTGATACAGCAAAGGCGGTAAAGGAGCGGTGAGATCTGCTGATCTAAGTCAATTATCTCCTCTATCCCACATCCGTCGACGGTAGATTCACTGATAATCACGATAAAAATATGTTCACAATACTGTTTAATTATTGTTTGTATTGGACTAATCGATGATACAGCAAATTGGTCTAAATGCCACTACTACAGACACCAGCCATCTCGACTTGCTGCTGGAGCGAGGCATGAAGGCGATCCACAACAGCATTGTTGATTACGTTGTGCAGCACTGCCAACCTATGGATAACGAACTCAGGTATGGTCGATCTTACATATTATAGAACTCCCATCATGAATGTAACAGCTCCATCCGCCAATGGACACCCCCGGCTCGCATCTTTGATTGGGACCAAGTAATGAAGTACATTTGCAAGGCCGCACTTAGGGATGGGTACAGTTGCTACTGTCAGTGGCACGACACAACTAAGCGAAATGTCGATGAAATCACGAATCCAGAAAGCCAGGGTGAATCTAACAAGAGGCCTAAGAGAGCTTGATGTAGTAAGACACCTGGAACGTTCGTATTGTAAGATATTCTCGTCCACACGGTATGATGTCACTTTACTGCATTGAACCATCTTTTTTTTCTTATACTTATTATATGTCTTTCCTTGTGATTGCATCAAGTTGTTGTACAACATGTAAACGAGTAGTGACATTTCCCATGCCTTGCAATCTTAGTCTGGAACGATACACATATGCTTGCAATTCTCTATCTAGACTTTGAGCCTCAGTTTATAGGATGTGCAACTTGAGGCCTGAGGTTGAATCAATTAAATTCTAACCATTTTTATTTGCAAGGCTGACTAGTCTACGCTATATGTACTAGGCCTTCTTATCTTAATTGTGTCCTTGTGTTCATGACCTCTTCACCGGCATCCAGATGGTCGTGAATTTCTAGCTATTCCACAATGGATTCAGTATCAGCCTCATTGGTGACACTGTTGCTGGTCCCAAGGACATGGGTTTCATCATGCAGTGTATTAGCGAGAAGAAGCAGTTGGTTGCGGAGATCATCGATGACTGGTTGACCATCAGCAAAATCTCAGATGTGCTTTATGTACTTAAATGTTTGAAATCAGCGCAAATAAGCAGGAGCGCTGAATTCCGCTGGATAAGCAAACAGTGACTTATTCAATCAATGATTTTCGTCTTTGCTAAGGCTGACTAGTCTACGCTATATGTATTAGTTGTAACTTTGGTCTAATAAGGATCATGATGAGTCATCAGCAATCATTGCATCATTGGCGCTCGCTTATGGGGTGTCAATAATCCTGATTTGGATGTTGAAACGAATATGTAGATTGCAGTATGTAATGTCTTTTTGTCCACACCAAATCTTAGAACGACGACATTCCCGGATTTTTCTCTGTTCACAGCTGAATGCTTCAAGTTAAACTGTGGTTATTACTTGAGTCCACATGTTATTGTTCTTGTTGGTCATTGCCGAGCAAGGAGATATTTAACTCTGATTTCTACTTCTTGTCTCTTTCCTCTCACTTCCTATCATCGATCTGTAAGTTCTTGGAACAATGACATTCCCGGAATTTCTGTAGCCATCAGCTACAACACTCTTTCGAGCCTTAGACTGTTCAAACTTTCGAGTGAATAGGTTCTTGGAACGATGACATTCCTGGAGCTCTTGGCATCATCAAACTCTCATCCAAGCCTTGGAACGACGATGTTCCCGGGTCTTGCACACAATATATATCCCTCTTGCATTTTTCATTATGTCCAATGCGCATTCAGAACAGCCCTCCCCACTTCAACGAATAGTGACTGAACTTTCAGTATGGTGGAGGGTCATTAGTAGGAAGATGGACAGACAGGAACACACCTGGGTCACTATTCACGACAGTGAACCGAGAGCAGGACCTGCTCCTCCACGGCCCGACAGTCGAACGGGCAATATGCTCTCCAGCAGAATCCTTGAGGGCCATGACTGGTCAATCTCCTCCGACTACTGGGACAGCTCTCGCCCATATCGAGCCTGCATCCCCGTCGACTTGGAAGCGCATGAACGGTTCCCAGAAGGAAGATGGCTGTCAGCTCCATTCACATTGGGCAGGGATTGGGGTGCTCAAGATACGTCGGGCTGGACATTAACCCCTATCGTGCGCAAGTCCAGAACCTCCCCCAAGCGCCCAGCTGGCCCTTTGCAGAAGAAGCGTGCGAAGTATATTGCAGTTCAGAAGAAAGGAGAAGAGGACAAAGGCCGTCGCATCTCGAAAAATGAGTACAAGAGGTTGACGGAATGGTGTGTCGGGGTGCATAAGCAGCTACCTGAAGGGGACATTTTCTATGCCTACGAGAATGACGCAGATGACGAGGATGACGCAGCGCCCGCAGGAGTAATCGTGTCGGCGAAGGACTTGGCTGCCCATGAGGCCAAAACTTTGGCAGCCCTACCGAGAGAGGAGCCCTGGACATGCCTGGACACCGAGGCCGCTCCAGCAGTAGTAGCGCAAGGTGTTATGATTGCAGAGCCTGAGACTTCCCTGGCAGCAGTGACACAAGGTGTTACGACTGCGGGCCAAGTCAATGATGAGCCGGCGCTAGTTACAGTAACAGCCCCAATCGCCAAGGCCATCGAGGTCCCCATTACTCCTAAGCCAGTACCAGATAATGGTGCTGAATCTCCTGTTTCATCAGAGAAAGGAGAAGCTCTCTTCACACCCGACTCTCCTATGGCCCCTTGGATACCACAAGATGATAACTTCTCGTCAATGCTTCCTTCGCCCCGGGCCGTTTCACATCCTTCATCTCCCCCGGACGCGAGGGTGGTTCTTCCAGCATCAATGAATAGACCTAAGGTACATTTCATAACCTTATTGTTAGACTTTCACTCACATTCTCCAAAGCAAAAATCACCAAGGCTTTCCTCACCCCAGGCCATGCCACGATCCTCATCTCCCCCTGTTTCGAGGGGAGTTCTCTCCAAGCCAACAGGTGGATTGACGGTACGTTCAAGAATAACTTTATTGTTGACTTTCACTAACATTTGTTAAAGGAAACACCAGTTGCGGTTGAGGCAGGGAGGAGCCAGCAATGCGCTTATCAACCGCTGGGTCGTCCATTTCAAGAGGGGACTCGCCGAGATGCTGGCTTGTCTCGTGATGAAAGATCTTACTCCGGTGACAGCTACCGGCTTATGAGCGCAGGACGAACCACCCCTACCAGGAGGAGGGTTACCGCTCTCGCTACGTTCAGGGCGAATCAAAGTACGGTCGTAGACCTGCCCATGATTCTTTGCATGGTCCCTCTTTGTCCTCCATGCGTCCGCCAATGGATTCCACCTCTCATCGGTCTTCCTTGGCATCTGTACGCCCTCCTTCCCCTCGTCGCCAGGAACACTTGGCGTTCCCCAGCGATCATCCTTTTTTGAAGCGAAAGTTGTCCTCGCAACTTGAATCTTCAGGGCGCACTGGAGAGAATAAGAGGTTCTGCCCGGAAGACAGAGAAGCGCAGCGACCAATGCTGAGTGAACGCATCATGGATGATTTCAGCATGGGTCCGCCTTCCTCTTCATTGCGCTCCTTAACAGACAGGATCCGCACTGTCCCAAACTTGAGGGCCCCACCTGCAGAGCAGAAGAAGAAGCAGATCCGGAACCCCCATGCAGAGCAGGTTCCAACCCTTATGCTCAGACCACCAATGTCCCAAGTGCTTCTGCAGCCCCAGGAACTAGTGTCGGCAGGTGATGGAATACGGCTCATAACACAGGCCTACCAGGCTAATGAGCTACGTATCAATGGTCCTCAGGTCTTTATGCAGGGCATCACCTTTCTTGCAGCACCAGTACATCGCTCTGGATGTTTGATTACAATGTTCCGGTCTGCCATCTGTGTAGCGTATGACCTCTCGGCTAACCCAAACACATCCCCAGTGGACTCCATTCTGACTCTCCTCAGATGCGGGGTGCCATTCTGAGTCATTTCATCGATTCAGTATGCCCCACCAACACAGCTTGAGGTTCGGTGTTAAGACCGTGCACAAAGGGTAGGACTGATTCTGAGGGGCTTGGCTTCAGCTCGTGCACTGCGCCCCTTACCCGAGTATGTGCCCTCAATTTCAGAATGATGTCCGAAGAAAGTCCAAGGACATCCGAAGGACGTCCGAAGCGCGGGAAAGTTCAGAAGGACTTTCCGGACGAGTGCGGGAAAGTTCCGGAGGAACTTCTGGAAATTACAATGAGGTTTCATCCTGATACGGATACGTGTAATGGCTACTTAGGACAAGTCCTAAGTAGAAGCAAACAGAGGAAAGGCTGCAAGGACAAAGTCCGAAGCAGAATAGGTCCGGAGGACTGCGGGAAAGTTTCGGACAAACGTCCGGAAACTTCAGAGGATCGGATGAGCGGATGAACGGGGATCCGATAAGCGGAGCTCTGGCCTAGGGAATTTCTCCCTAGGCCCGAGATGGATATTGACTAAGTCGATAGACTAGAACTGATGTGAGGACTTAGAGTGAGATCTAGTGCGAGGACTAATATGATATTCAGACTGAGGAACTACAGGACATATACAAGAGTTTATATACTAAGGAAATAACGGAAAGATCAGTAAGCAAGTGTCCGAGGCTATGTATGAAGCATAAGCAAAGTTATCAAGTGCGAGTCGGAAATGAAGCATAGGTTAACGGATCAGTATGCGTACTGGTAGTAAGTATAACCGAGATACCAAGGACAAGGAATACCGAATAGAGGAATAGGCTGTGTTAACGTTATATGCACGGGAATGAATTAAGAAGCTTATCGTATATCGGATCGGAAGCGGATCTATACATCGGACCGGACTGGACCGGATCGGATGTCCGGATGAGACGCGTGGATAGACATTAGGGTGATGGGACAAAGGATGAATAATGCAGGCTAGCTGAGGTATGGAGGTAAAGGGATCTGGATGTGCGGATGTGGATGTGCAGAGGTGCAGGGATCCGGACGGACAGAGGACTGGAGACATGGATAGGGTGTCCGAAGGTCCAGATGAGGCGTGGGAATATTGTCAGATGTAGGTCCAGAATACGGGATATGACATTTGGCCATTATATCTGGCAACCAAGCGCGCCCACGTTGGACTGGATCTGAGTGATCCAGGATTTTGGAATACATACCTGGCCACTGTCCAGCAGCTTCTCAATCGCCCATTTGCATGCTCCTTCCTCACGGTCGGAGGGATCATATGGCGCATAGCCTTGCAGTTCGGCCCTGATACTCCAGTTCAAGAAGCGCTTGCTGGGCCATCTTCAGACGTCACTCGCTGGAAAAGTGGTGAAATGCTGGACAATCTCTGGGACAATATGGTCACTCCTGCTGAACTGGAGATACTATTGGGACAGGGTTTGGAAAGCTCAGTGACATGTTAGCCACCCCATGACATTTGGACCTCCTCTACCAGATGGTTCGGATATTGGTTGGAAAAGGATGAATCATGGTTCCAATTGCAACTAGCCAACTTGTCTTCAGGGAATGCCGATGCATCCAAAAGTCGCAAGGACTGGAAGTGATTCTATAAACCTATTGCAGATGAGAGATCTGAAGACACATTGATTCACGGCTCAGAGGCCTTTGCTCATGATTTGTTCGAGAAGTTGGGATACCGTGTTGATCGTGACCCTATCTGGAACCTGCCAAGTACTTGAAGGGGCAGCTTAGATGAATGTGTCAGTTACTCGATTGGTATGTGATAATTTCCGCGATCTTTAGCCACATAGCACGCTAATGACAACTCAGGTTTGGCGGAGGCACCACAAAATGGTTCATATTATGTTACACACAGTGTTTGTGGAAGAATAGAATAGAAGTGTAGGCCAGCACTTGTTGTATAATACTTATGCTCGAATCATTTATATTTTCTTTCTCTTATGACTCCACATGAGCTTGATTGAAGCCAAGTTCTTCCCTTAAGTTGCTTGTGTCAAGGCCAATTCAGCCCCCACCCCGTGAGAGAAGCTGATTTAGTTTTAATACGTTTTTGAAGAGCGATTGTCCACATCAGACGCTACTTAGTGACTTGACATGCTCCGGACTATAGTATCAACATAAATTACAGTGTGTTGCATTTTTTTTTGTGAACTCACAGTAAATGCATTAGGGGGTTCAAGTGTATATGCTTAGTAAGTCGGACTTGGAATCACGAAGTCTGAGTCATCATTATGCAATATTGATCGATTGATCTATGTCAACCTCTTTCCTTTTTAGATTTGTCTCCTCCAGTCTGTACTCTTGTTGTCGATTCTCTAATCTTTTCTATTCATCAGTTTTCTCTTGTGTGAAGCTTGGCTTTACTCAATTTTCTTGTATAACCAGCCAGAAGTCAACTCAAGCCCCCGATTCAGGCCTATTACGAGAAGCCAGGCTTTTCATATGAAGTCTAATTCAGCTTGATTATCCTGGAGGACCCGTGTCAGTCCTCCTTCGAGCTCTACGGACATCTTTAACTCTTATGAAAATTCAGGGTCTTCCTCCTTGAGTCCCTCGGTGAACTACTTCAGTCCAGGAGTCTGACTATCAGAAGCCAGGCTTTTCATACAAGATCTCTGAGTCCTTCAACTTCGCGAGGACCATCAGCCCTCCTTTGAGCTTTCTGAGCGGTTTCGAACCATGTATCCTCTTTTATTCATTAGTTTTCTCTCGTGTGAAGCTCGACTTTACTCTATTTTCTCTTAGAAGCCAACTCAGGCCCCCGGTTCAAGCCTCTTACGATATGAAGTCTCATTCATTCGGCTTGATTATCTTCGAGGACCTGTGTCAGTTCTCCTTCGAGCTCTGTGAGCATTTACAGCTCTTATGAAAAGTCAGGCTTTTCATACGAAATCTTCTCAGGTCCCTCGGCGAACTGTGTTGGTCCACGCCGAGTTCTTACTATGAGAAGCCAGGCTTTTCATACAAGATCTTCGAGTCCTTCACCTTCGTGAGGTCTATCATCAGACCATTGACTGTTGTGTGTCTCTTTGGGATCTGGGACGACAGTCACTACATTCAACGTATCCTATAATCTTCATTTTAATTCACCAAATCTCTGGACTCGACCGGTACATGGAGCACATCCTGGACACGATGACCCTTCTCTCTAGGAGTACCATGAAGTCCGACTTTGTTGGTGCTCCGCGAGATGCACCTCTGAAGTTCATCGGCCGGTCTACACCTTACATCCTCAAAAATATACCCTTTCGATGATATTCTAGGGCAAAATTATAGAGCAACATTGTTTGTTCCTGTTGCATCATCCGTCAATTGCAACTGTTCAACAAATCATCGATTTTAATTCACCGACTACCTTACTGCTACTACTAATTCGGTTCCCGCTGAGTTGGAAGCTCAGATAACGTAGTGTGTTGTCATCTGACATCACTCATCGGTTGACTTCTTCTCTCCAACTCTTCCAGCATTTACCTCAAGATGTCTACCGCCACGGTTGTCCACTGCCCTTCGTGCAAGAAAACCTTTAAGACATGTTCACGTCTGAATGCGCATACCGCTCTAGCCCCAACTTGCAAGTGGGTTCACACCATGTACGACGATGCGAATGAGGTCGAGATGAGAGATTATCGGGAGCTAAGCGATAAGGAGGATGATCATATAGGGAATCGGGACACATACGACGTTGCAGCTGCTGAGTTTACTGAAGTGGAGGAAGTGCAACAGCAGACACATCATGCGCCAATTGCGAGGCCATATCTGACACTAACAGCCTGTGGAATAACTCTGCAGAAAATGTGATGGGATCAACTGGATACTTTGTTGTCACGTACTCTCTGTGGAAAAGAAGAATACGGTGTCTTGTTTAGCAAGTCCGATTTGATGCATTTATGATGAAATGATGAGTGGTGATTGGTCTTGGGAGGCGCAGGTCTGTGGTTTCGAATATTTTCTTTGGCAATGTGTTGAGTGTATTGAAGACACTCCTTCCAAATGGCGCTACTCTTGTTCCTGTCATACTCAGCTCAGATAAGACTCAGCTCTGCCAATTTCGAGGTGATAAAACCGCATACCCTGTCTACCTCACTATTGGCAATATTTTGAAGTCCATTCGCCGCAGGCCATCGTTCCGTGCTCAGAAACTTATCGGCTACCTTCCGACCGTCTCATTAGATGGGACAGACATTTCGGTAGATGGCGCCTGCCATACTCGTGCGTAGCTCTTTCATTATGTCATGCAGATAGTTACCGGCTTGCTTTGCACTGAATCTCTGACCAACGGGATAGAGCTTATAAGTGGAGATGGGGCAGTGCGCCTCGTATCTCCTGTGCTCGCTGCCTACGTGGCAGATTATCCAGAGCAAGCCTTGGTGACGTGCACGCGCTACACCCAAACATGTCCCAAGTGCTTTGTTACTAAGGATGAGCTAGGTGATCATGTCACCGGAAACCCACGACAGCAGAAACAGTCAATTCGCACCATCTGCCATGCTAGCCAGCAATCAACAAGAGTTCACGCTGAAGCAGCTGTGAGAGACCATGGCGTAAATCTCATTCTCGACCCTTTCTGGATTGGGCTGCTACACTGTAATATTCATGATGCCATCACTCCAGACATTCTTCATCAAATGTACCAAGGCCTTGTCAAGCACCTTTGTGGGTGGATTCAGACCCTTGTTGGCAATGCAGAGTTGGACGCTCACTTTAAGCGCATGCCTCGTGTGCACGGCGTCCGTCTGTTCTCACATGGTATATCTGGCCTCACCCAAGTTTCTCGTCCAGAACATCATGAAATATGTATAGGAAGCTAGACACGAAGTAAGTCTCAGTGGACGGTGAAGCAATGCTATCATTAACTACCTAGATACAAAGTAAGTCTAGAACAAGTGTTAACATTAACAAGATGATAAGAGTGACAAGAATGTAAACATACCTCAGTGGACGGTGAAGCAACACTGAGGTAGAGTGTGTACGAGGAAGGGATTAAATACAGAAATGTCAAGAAGTCTGAGACAGAGAGAAGCGAGTCCGAGACGGAAGGAAGCGACTGATACACGAGGGTGATATAAGATGTCGAAGGTGCTACGAGTCGATAAGGGTCAAGAAAGGAAATAGGAACTCATAACATGTCCTGGAGGTTAATCCTCCAGGACTCGTATCGTGCAGACACATTCTTCTGTCTTCTTCTGTCCTTATCGCCAATACACCCCCTCACCTAGACATCAGGTGAAGACCGGGTAAGTGCTTCTCAAAAAGGGGACATGGCAGCACCTTTGTAAAAATATCTGCAGTGTTTTTGTGGGAGGGGAGCCACTTGAGCAAGAACGTGCCCTTCTTGATATGCTCACATATGAAGTGATAGCGCACATCTATATGCTTGGATTGAATGTGATTCCGGGCTTCGGTCGACAACGGAATGGCACCTGTGTTGTCCATGAACACGTGGATGGGGAAAGGAATGTGAATGTGCAGTTCAATGAGAGATTTGATCCAAAGGCCTTCCTGAATGACGTGAGTAACTGCCATATATTCGGCTTCAGTGGAGGAGAGAGCGTGGGTTGATTGCTTCTTAGAAATGTGAGCAATGACCCCGCCGGCATAAAACCATACGTAACCCGAAATCGACAAACGATCAATGGGGGAGCCTGCCCAGTCAGTGTCGCAATACACGTGTAAGTCCTCATTCATGTTGGCACCCCCATAGTGCAAGCGGAGATTGATGGTGCCTGAGAGGTAACGAAGCAGTCACTTTGCGGCTGCGTAATGAGCAGGCAACAGTTTGGTGTTGTGTTGCGCAAGCGAATTCACAGCGAAGGATATGTCAGGACGGGTGCAGATTGCGAGGTAGAGTAGTTCTCTGACGAGCTTGTGGAATAGTGTTGGGAGGTTAGGGATGATGGCATGGGAGTCGTCAGGTTTTCCAAACGGATGATGTGAGTTGAGTGGGAGGCGGACAGGATTACAGTCAAGCAGGTTATATTCTTCGAGCAGGTAGGTGATGTACTCGCCTTGGTGCAAAGGTCACGGCTGCTTTGATTTCGTTCAAACTGAATGCCAATGAACTTGGTGACTGGCCCCATGTCTTTGATGCCAAAGCAGTGGTGAATCTTCTGCTTGACCCAGGTCAAGAAGGCAGGATTGTTGGATGTCCCCAGCCCGTCGTCGACGTGAAAGCCAATTATGCAGACTATGCGAGTCCCAGAAGTGCTGCTGTCGAAAAGGAATACTGTGTAATCAACAGCACAGCAAGTGAAGCCCAACTCCTCCATGATGTCTCGAACCTACTCATACCATTCCATCGCAGACTGCTTCAATCTGTAGATCGTCCGAAGCATCCGCCAAACCAGCACCCTCCAGTCTCCTTCTTCAAATCCTTTGGGCTAACACATATAAATTTCCTCCTTGAGTACCCCCCAGAGAAAGGCATGTGTAGCGTCAAACAAATGAAGCTCCCAGTTGTTCTTGCAGGCCAAAGCAGCTATGAGGCGAAGTGAGGCGGTTTTCAGCACCGGTGCAAAAGTTGCACCAAAATTGACCCTGGGTATTTGGGAGAATCCTTGTGCGACAAGACATGCCTTATAAACCGATCCACCCTTATTATCCTCTTTCAACTTGTTAAGACTGTGCACAAAGGGTAGGACTGATTCCAAGGGGCTTGGCTTCAGCTTGTGTGCTGCGCCCCTTACCCGAGTATGTGCCCTTAACTTCAGAATGAAGTCCAGAGAAAGTCCAGTGAAGTCCGAAGGACTTCCGGAGAAGCGTGGGAAACTTTGGATGGACTTTCCGGACGAGTGCGAGAAACTTCCGGATGAGTGTGGGAAAGTTCCGGAAGAACTTCCGGAAATTACAATGGAGTTTCGTCCTGACAGGGATATGTGTAATGGCTACTCAGGACGAGTCCTGAGTAGAAGGAAACAGAGGAAAGGCTGCAAGGACAAAGTCCGAAGCAGAATAGGTCCGGAGGACCACAGGAAAGTTCCGGAGGAACTTCCGGAAACTTGGAGGATCAGAGGATCAGAGGATTGGAGGAGCAGAGGAGTGGAGCTCCAGCCTAGGGAATTCCTCCCCAGGCCTGAGATGGATAATTACTAAGTCGGAGGACTAGAACTGTTACGAGGACTTAGGGTGAAGGCTAGTGCGAGGACTAATATGTGTAATATTCAGACTGAGGAAGTACAAAGATTCTACAGAGTTTATATACTACAGAGGACTTAACAGAGAGTCAGTCAGCGCAGTCCGAAGCTATGTGAGGCTGTGGATGGAGGATGTAGAAAAGTCAAACACTAGTCTATCAGAAAATAGTAAATGAAGACGGAGATGAAGACATAGGAAAATAAAGCCAGAAATGAAATGAGGTACGGAAAATGAGGAAGTCTAACTCAAGAAGGAACATACAAAGGGATAAGGCACGGAAGATAGACGCGGGTCAGATCCGGATGTTCGGAGGGCCGGAGACAGGTGATTACCATAAGGGGATGGGCGCTGATTTAAGGTTTGAGTTGGGACATGACAGATAGGTCGGATCCGGAGATCCAGAGATGTGGATATCAGATGCAGGAGTACAGGGATCCGGACAGATAGAGGATTGGGTCTGGAGACATGGACAGGAGGTCCGGAGGTCCGGATGAGGTGTGGGAACGTCGTCGGATGTTGGTCCGGAATGCGGGATATGACAGTCTCCATGGAAGCTTGGTTGTGGTGTTATTGCAGAGGTGTTGGATGCCATGGCTACTGGTACGATTAGAGTCGAAATGACTTGCGATTGTTGTGAAAGAGATGGAACTGCTCTATTTAGAGCTACTCTTTGTTGAATGAACTGTAGATTTTGCGAGTTGCACTGTGCGGGTTTCTTAGGAGTTGAGATAGCAAGGTCACAGAAAAATTTAGGTGGTGCGGAGGGCGGGGAAAATTTTCGTCTGAGGCCACGCGCCTAAGTGCTGGTGGGTTTTCCGTGCACTGGATGTTTCGAATGTGACAGAGGTCGTCTAGAGTAATGGCCGTGATGAATGGTCGCTCTAGTCACCAGGTGGTGAGGTGCAGCCTTGACACTTGGTCTGTGCAGTGTGCTAAAGGTGAAGTGCTACTCTACATGCGGTGCTACCCTTATGCGCCCTCTAAAGGCTCTGAACCGGCCAAACCCACTAGCTACTCGAACTGGAAATGCCCCTGAGGCTTGTGCACCCTACTACAACGCAAACTTCATGTCCTTAAGCTGACAAAATTCAAATAAAGCTAGTCTCCTGAGCACTTATGGATGGTGTAAAGAGTTGATTCGTTTTAGGCGTTACAAATAGTGTTACCTTAGAACTCAATGTGCGAGTGTAATGCTCGTCCCAAAGAGACTGCCTATAGAACTACCTCTTGATATAATATGCAAGGGATGTTTTTGTTAAGATTGAGGATGAGAACTGGAAAGGTTACCCAAAGTGCATTCTGAGTTCCGAAGATGTGTCCGAAGTACTGAAGTACTTGTCCAATGTGAGTGAAGGTGGTCTGAAGTCAAGAAACAAAGGTCCAAGGTTGCGTGAAGCATCCTAAGAGCTTCCAGTGAACAGTGAAGGTTCCAAGAGAGGAATATGGTGGGTTTGTCGAAGTATGTCGAAGTATAAGACTTGCAGAAGTACCGAAGTATGACTAAACAAAGTCTATCAGAAGAACTAAGAGATAGCGAGATGCAAAATGGCAGTGGTCAGGCCAAACAATCATTCCGACTGAACAAAGATTGATTGCATGAAGTATGACTATCTGAAGTGACTCCACAAACTATGACTCCTAGCAAGGAAAGTGAAGTCCAGTGCGAGTATATAGTGAGCCAGATCATATCCTACAGCATGAAAGTCTGGAATTGCATAGGCAAAACTAGTAGCAAGATAAGCTATTCCAAATGTAATAAGACTCATGGTGAGCCACTACAGAGATATACATGTAATAGTGCACGAGGCGCGCAGCTATACATATTCATCAGGATTTTTGACATATGTGCCCCTAAGACATAAATCAATAACAGATAAACCAAGTGAAAACACACCAGCAAATTCAAACAGACACGGACGGGACATGGTACGGAGGATCGGAAGTGTATACAGGCCTCGGAAGGGGATGGACGACCTTCGGACAACTTGGATGAATGCACAGAACTCTCAGAAGGTAAAAGGAGTGTCGAGGAGTATAATGTGAGACACCTATGAGTTTGGCAGGATACTCGACCAACGCCAACCCGAGTGTTACAACAGCTCACAGTGGCAGAGAAGCAAGCTCACAATGCCCAGGTGCTCCAGGCTTGTCAAGAAAAGAGAAGTGCTGCACGTGCTAATCCAAAGGCTGTTCAGCATGACATGAATGCCGCATTCACATTCATGGATCATGAGGTAGGTGCTACATGTAGTCTTATAAAATGCCTTCACTCACTGCACATGCCCCTCGTCATTTAGTGGACAGCACTCTGCACTTGTATGGGCATGCAAGGTTTCTATATTGCTGTGTGTGGCGTAATCAAAGATCTCTTGGAGCCCAAAATATTTTTCACCAAGAAGGCACATGTTAAGCTTGTACTCTCGGAGGAACAGATCTGAAGGACTTCGGCCTCAGCTCATATGCTGTGCCCCTTTCCCAAGTACTGTCCCTTATTTCAGAGACTGAAGATAACACGTCCGGATGGTCGGATGAGTATTGTAGTTCATCTGGAAGTCTTCCGGATATCGGAAACATGTGTAAGGCTAATCCGGACAAGTCCAAACTAGAAACAGACAGAGTATAGACTATCCAAAGATAGAGGCGGAGATGTAGACTACAGGAATTGATCCTAAGTCTCAGAGATTGACAAGAGTTGATTAGACTCAAGTCCAGAGGACAGAAAGAGGACAAACTAAGATGATATTTGAACTGAGGTACTACCGGACATATACATGAGTTTATATACTAAGGGATAACAGAAAGATCAGTAAGCAAGAGTCCGAGGCTATGTATGAAGCATAAGCAAAGTTTATCAAACGCGAGTCGGAAATGAAGCATAGGTTAATGGATCAGTAAGCATAACCGGTAGTAAGTATAACCGAGGTACCAGGAGTAAAGGAACACCGAATAAAGGAATAGGCTGTGTTTAATGTTATATGAACAGGAAATGAATTAAGAAGCTTATCTTATATTGGATCGGAAACAGATATAACAGATTGGATTGGATTGGATTGGATTTAAGGTCCGGATGAGAAGCATGGATATATGTGATATGACAGCACAGAAGTTTGTTTTGAGTGTCCTCAGAGTCGAACCTCAACATCTTGGCCTTAAGTTAGAAGTGTTTGTGGTTGGCAAGCTCGGTACATATTTTTTCAGCATCTCTTGATGGGTCTTTTGACCTGAGGCATGCAGATGAACATGCAATAAGCATCAATTCATGCCTGCTCAATAATCTCATCTCTGACTGCCGTGAATTGATTCAAGATGGACTTGGTAGGTTTTTGCTACTTTTTGACATTTAGTAGCTGAACAATGGCTTGTAGGATTATTCTGCTTGAAAAGAATGACTTGTGCAAGGTAAAAATGAACTATAGAAATTATGAGCACACTATAGTCGCACACTGCAGTGTTGCGCTCATTAACTGGCCGTTTTTGGGAGCAGTGCAGAACCCCAGCAATGTTGGTGGCAGGAATTAGGTTCAGACTTTGTTGGAAGCTCTTAAGTCTAATCAATGCAAATGAGTGTCTCTGTCAGAAGATGAGCTTTTCCAGCGCATGACAGACAATCAAGCCCACCAGGCATGTGGTGAAGCTGTGTACATTCCAAGGAAGAGAAGAACTGCATCTGCTGCCAAACAAAGTGCCGAGGTGATAATTGTCACAAGTGAGTTGAGTTTGGACGAGAGTAGCAGATGGACAAATGATATATGAAAATTGTTAGTTAGATACATTTTTAAAGTATGAAATGTGACTCAGAAAGTCTAAATGTCAGTACAAGGAACTGCAAGATGAATAGCAAGTACCACATCGATATCTTCTGGTTTGAGGAGACAATGTAAGAATAGATGTGGATGAAGCTGGAGTCCACCGACATTGATATCTTCCGGTTGGAGGAGATGGCGAAAGAATAGATGGGGATGGGGCTGGAGCCCATTGGCATCAAAGGTCTGACATCCAAAGTCTATAGGTTTAGTAGTCTCGCCTCTCTGATATAGAGTATACACACCTTGCTGGCACACTTGCAGTGGTCTGTGCTGGTGAGAGATGTGGTACCACCGCGAATCTTGAATGACACGTCAATGAGCAACATTTGTATCCCCTGCTTGCAGCGGTCCATGCGGGTAAAAATAAGGAAAGCGAGAAAAAGATAAACTTACACATCTATTATGCACATCCCAGTTTGAAATTTCAATGAGATGTGGTACTGGCACAAATATCGAATGACGAATCAACTAGAGATATTATAATCTGTGAAGAGGTTGTCATGTCCTGCTTGCAGTGGCCCATGATGGTGGTGAGAAGGATGAAAGTGAGGAAAAGATTGAGCTACACACCTGTATGTTATGCTACATGTCACTTCACATGAGGTGGCATGGCAGAGGATGGGTACAAGCATGACAAAAGATGGACCAGTCTTGAAGCTTTGCGAGGTGTGGGAGTGTTGCAAATGTTGACAGGCATAATGGTGATTATAGACATCACAAAAGCACAAAAAGAACAAAATAAAACAAGTGAAATATGGTGCTCATCATGCACGACAATGAGCATGAAGGGAACACAAGTGTGGGAAATAGTGTGGACGTGGCGGGCGTAATTGTGTGACTGCAGCGGTGGTGATTGCACGGAGTCTAAAAGGCATGTGACCAGATTAGATGAGATCTAATCATATCTGCCCTATTATCTATACTACTGGACCCTCTGTAGTTCTATGAAGTCACTGCTAAGTGCTGTGGCTATTGCTGAAGTGCAGCAGCATATGATTTCGCCCCTACTTAGTAACAGGTATGGTATGTCATAATCGTTACTAAAATGTACCATATATGGTGTTACCCAGGTGGCCTTAGATGTCATAGTCATAGCACATGCAGTCTTTAATATAGGAGTGCATTATAGTGTATGACACTGGACACTGAATCTCTTTTCTCATTTCTGATTTTATAGCAATATTATATACCAATGAGACTGTTGTACATGCAGCTGGACTTCTTCCCTCCCTCGCAAGCTCGGGGGGTCCTAGAAGTCCAGCTGATGTACAACAGTCTCATTGGTAACCCTAACTTATCTTGACATTAAAACCCTAACCCTAACTAACAAATTTAGAAAACATCAACAACAACACACAAATAACAACAACAAACAACAACAAATTTGCATCAGCCTTATTCAGTGAGCAAATGAGAATACAGCAACAACAAACACCTGCAAAGCTCCACAAACATGGTCCCTCCAGGGAGCTGCTTATGATGTGGTGGTACTACGTAGTACTCAGTGTGCAGCGATGTGCAAAAACGCGGTCCCTCCAGGGAGCTGCCTGTGATGTGTGGTGGTATCATGGATTACTGAGCATGCAACAATATGCAAAAACGCGGTCCCTCCAGGGAGCCGCCTGTGATGTGCAGTTGTGCAATGTATTACTGGGTGTGCAGCGATGTGCAAAAATGTGGTCCCTCCAGGGAGCCGCCTGTGATGTGGGGTGGTACAATGTATTACTTAGCACGTGGCGATGGGCAAACATGTGGTCCCTCCAGGGAGCCACCTGCGATATGCAGTGCATATGCAAAAACGCGGTCCCTCCAGGGAGCCGCCTGTGATGTGTGGTAGTACAATGCAATACTGGGTGTGCAGCGATGTGCAAAAACGCGGTCCCTCCAGGGAGCTGCTTGTGATGTGGTGGTATAATGTATTACTGGGTATGCAGCGATGTGAAAAAATGTGGTCCCTCCAGGGAGCCACTGTGAGCCATGTCATGTGGTGGTGCAACATATTACGTGTGTAGCAATGTGGAAAAATGCAGTCCCTCCAGGGAGCTGCTTGTGATGTGGTGGTATCATGTATCACTGAGCATGCAACAATGTGCAAAAATGTGGTCCCTCCAGGGAGCCGCCTGTGATGTGTGGTGGTACAATGCATTACTGGGTGGGCAGTGATGTGCAAAAACGCGGTCCCTCCAGGGAGCCACCTGCGATATGCAGTGCATACTAGGTGTGCCGAAATGTGCAAAAATGCGGTCCCTCCAGGGATCCACCTGTGTTACTCAGTGTGCAGCGATGTGCAAAAACGCGGTCCCTCCAGGGAGCCGCCTGTGATGTGGGGTGGTACAAAGTATTACTTAGCACGTGGCGATGGGCAAACATGTGGTCCCTCCAGGGAGCCACCTGTGATGTGCAGAAGTACAATGCATTACTGGGTGTGCAGCAATGTTCAAAAACGCGGTCCCTCCAGGGAGCTGCCTGTGATGTGTGGTAGTACAATGCAATACTAGGTGTGCCGAAATGTGCAAAAACACGGTCCCTCCAGGGAGCCGCCTGTGATGTGCAGAAGTACAATGCAATACTGGGTGTGCAGTGATGTGCAAAAACGCGGTCCCTCCAGGGAGCTGCCTGTGATGTGTGGTGGTACAATGCATTACTGGGTGTGCCAAAATGTGCCAAACACGGTCCCTCCAGGGAGCCGCCTGTGAAGTGTGGTGGTACAATGTATTACTGAGCACGTGGCAATGGGCAAACACGCGGTCCCTCCAGGGAGCCACCTGAGCTGTGTCACATGGTTGTACAATATATTGCTGAGCATGCACCAATGGGTACGCAGCAACAAAACCAAGCAACAATGCAGTCCCCTCGCTGAGCCACTTGTCATGTGGTGCTACAAGGCATTCTTGATAATGCACCCCACTACACCTAACAAACATGCAGTCCACCCAGGGAGCTTCGTCGTTGAGGCACGCGATGGCCGCTGAATAACCCCTGCAGCCGACCCTAAAATGTGGACAAACCTGCAACCTGCAGGCGACCATCAACTAAACTAAACCCTAACCGACCGACCGACCGATCTAATTCCTAACCCTAGGCCGGGGTTAGGGTCTCAAGCACCGGGACCCACGATCTGGCGGACCTGCGACCCTCTATCAACCCTTTGAAGTCGTCATAGTATTCAAAGTGTCCTCATAGTCGTGGTAATTCCTCAAAGCGTCCTTGAAGTCGTGGTAAGTCCTCATAGTGTCCTTAAAGTCGTGGTAATTCCTCAAAGTGTCCTTAAAGTCGTTGTAATTTCTCAAAGTCTCGTGGTAAGTCCTCAAAGTGTCCTCAAAGTCGTGGGTGGCAAGTCCTCAAAGTTCGGTCTTGGAAGTCCAATAATAGTAGGTATATTCCCTCATATTAAGTGAAGGTACAACTACGTGCTTAAAGTCGTCAAAGTCTGGTGACTCCAGTAAGTCCTCAAAGTTACAAAGTGCGGCCATATGCTAAAATTCTCAATAGTCCGTCCCATAGTCGCGATAATCCTCAGCGATAGTCCTCAAAGTTTGTTGTTGGAGTGTGCAGAGGTTCGTTGTCGGGGGGAAGTGTATGTTAGTCATTGGGAGTGTGCAGAGGGTCGTCATCAGGACGGATCTTTAAAA